CTGTGGCTAAAAATTGTCCACTTGAAGACTGAAGGCAAATCTGCTAAATTCCTTTCAAAATTTTCTTACTGCTGAACAGGAACTTCGGATTTTAGTGCTTCAGAACAACAAAGTGACGATTTAAAATTACATATTCCTTATCACAATGTACCAATTCTACAGGCTGATTAATTGAGTATCCAGCCTTCAATTGTCACGTCTCAGGGATCAGATTTTTTCCTGTTCATACACAATGCACTTTTTTAATTCCCTCGAAACACGAGCTACCATAAATTTTACACAATTCATTTTTTGCGCCGTGTTGTTTTCATCACATAGAAATAAGGGAATACAAGCATTGTTGTTCTAACAAGGTTTAATTGCTTGGAACCGGAACCAAGGACGATCCAAATCAGTTCCAGCTCTCATGGGTGTTTGTTTTAGATCGAATAAGTTTTTTTCCTATTTCGCGCCCAAGATTAATCAGCAGTGTTCATTGACAGTAACCGATTTATTTAGGAAAATAGCTTAGTTCCAACTGGGCATAATTTTTATTATTATTCTTAACCACTCAGGTCTTGATGACCTGTTCGCACCATTGCATGGTATTGACACACTTTAGGAGGCACAATTTTTCGATGCGTTAAAATAATAATAAGTTATGCGGTTGGCGATTTTTTTTATGACTCAGACCGCACCTTGGACATTGAGCAAACTGTTTGCACAACTACGATCATTTACATGATTTCTACTTATCCACATTCATTAAAATGCAAGAGAAATTTTAGTCTAGACCTGCATAGTTAAAGTAATACAGTTTTGCAATAAAAATAATGAAAATTGAATGAAAATGTAGAGTAATTCCAGCTAGACATCAAGTGAAAATCAGACTAATTTAGATTAGGCGACAGTTATGCGATAATTCAGTTTGCTGAAGCTAATCATAAACGAGGTTGAGTGAAGTAGCACAATCCAAAGTCGGCATTGAGTGCCAAAAGTAGCAAAAAAGGAAGCTTAAAATGTTAAGATCCCAAATGAAGACTTAGTGCGTGGTTGAACATCCTCAAAACGAATGAATCGATTTTCAAAAGTGAAACAGTTAAATGTTGGGATTGAGGGATTGGGTGTTTTCCTCTGATCTTCAGTAGAAAATGTCTGCTTCATTTCAATCAAGTTTGGAGTTTTCTGAAGATCATTTCAATCAGTCCGAATCGAAAAAACAGATGTGGACGAAAATGATGATAGAAGCGTTGAAATAGCAAGAATGTTGAAAGTTCATGGTTCTTCCATATGATCTAGGATGGCCAAATAAAAAATGGACTACCACGTACCGCAAATGGTCGTGTAGTGTTAAGTAATGTTACGTAGGTATACGCTTTATGTATTATTTACTAGATACGTGAGTGCAATTGATAAAAATCCATCTACAATCTGGTTACTTTAGAGTTACATGCCATTGTAGGTACTTTGAACTTGAGAAAGTTTTACTTGGAATTAGTAGAATGTTATGCTAAAGTGTGGTGTGGACACCGAAGAAAAAATATTCGACCAACAACTCAGGACGCTCATAAAGCTCGGAATGAATTGGATTAAAATTCAAAATGTACTTTACAGAAACTTCAAAACAAAAAACTTACTTTTCAAAACAAAAAAAACTTTTTCCACTACGACCTAAAAGCTGAAAAAGCTTTGAAAAAAAAATTGAACAAATATCAAACGATCCTCTAGTGGACATTTTGAAATAATAATTTCCTTTTTTTCTTGAATGTATAGATTCTACAAATGTGTTTTCGCAACTGCAATTTTTTTGCAAACTGGTCTTACAGATTTTAAAATATTCAATTTATACTGAACAAAATTGCTGAATTTTAAGCGAATTTATTCGCGATCTACGCGAAATACTTCTGATAAATTCCTCTGGACTTTGCAAACACACTTCAACATTAGAAATTCAGAGAAGTCTTTGCAAACCCTGACTGAACAGTTGCATGACTGCCACATCTAAATCACTAGAATATCACATATTGCTGTAGAATACTTAAGTAGCGTTTTCTTATCGTCGACTTGATGGAATTCACTAAACAGTTACTTGACGTTCAAATACCTATTATTTCTGACCCGGGAGAAGTAGCTCACATTGTTTGCTATTACTGTTTTTTTGCCAGATGCTGACCTTGCCTTTTTCGAGAACCTGTTTAACTTTTGTCCTGAATGGCACACTTTATACTGCAGATTTTTTCCTATTGAATTTCCATTGTTAATTTACAAGAACAAGAAATTTTAATAAATAACTTCACGACAGAGCTGACACGAACACTGTTCAACAAAGAAAACATTACACGAAAAAAAATGGAAGAATATCTACACTAACAGCGCAAAAAAGCTTAAAAATTAAGCCACTAATCCGATGTCAATAAGGTACTTGGCCGCACCGCAAACATAGCAATTAATATAGTTGCTGAACTACCACATACGACTTCCTTATTGTTGTTTTCCTATAATCCGAACCGAATTTCCGCAATTAAATCGCACGGTATGCATTGTGCAATTGTTGCTAATTAGATTATTGCAGTGGCTGCAGACTTTTGTTTGCTGCGGAACTTTGGACTATTCCGTCCTGATTTTTCGCGCAATTTTCACCTGAAGTGAAATCCGTTTTTAAAAATGTGAAAAGCTGTGCCATTAAAACTAACGATGATGCATTTAATCGGCGATGTTAATGCGTAAAAGTGGTTTTAATCAGCTCGAACGTTACGTTAATTATTTGTGAAGACTTTGAAAAAAATTAAGCCGCTGAACGGTACAAAGTGAAAACATTGAATTATTGTTGAATGGAATTGTGGCTTTTCCGCATTATTCGATAAATTGTGCGAGTGGGCTTTTCAAAACTCCATTAATAAGTACATGCCCGTGTTTAAGACTCGGATGATTAAGGATTAAGTCATCTCAATGAGTAGGCCAACTGTTTAGCATAAATTCAATTTACCAGGAATGTAAAGCTGATTTTTAGTTCGTATTTACATTAGAATCGACACATGACATTTAAGTGTGTACAGCAGAACTATGTAGGTTTGCCACAACTAAATTTTATAGGATTCTTCAAAGATTAGCCGCTGGAAATGTACGCAACCTTTTCCTACTTTCAACACCGCGATAGTTCTGAAATTTATCGAGTTTCCTAAAAAAAACTTCGACGCATTTCCAAATTCAGTTACTTTGGCCATTGCATAGATTTGTTAATTTGAATCAAAAATGTTGTGTGCAGCTTCTTAACAAGGACAGATATAATTAAAAATACAATTAAATAGATGACAAAACATGTAAAACTGTAAAATAATGCACAAAGAATTCAACTGAGTTTGATCAAAAATATAATGAAACATACACATTTCCTGAACTGAAGTGGAAAGAAAGGGAAACTCAATTTTTAATTCCATGGGGAAACCAAATGAGCCGCTTTGTCTTGAAATTGCATAAAGTAATCATAAGCTCATGTTTATTCATTATAAAGAAACACTGGATCTCGAAAAGATAATCGGATAAAAGACCATTTAGAAAAGCAACAACTCAATCATTTAGAAAGAAAATTAGTGATAGGTGAATATGAGAACCATGAGAAAAATTACAACTAAATAAATGAATAAAAAAACCACTGATATAACAACCAGAACCGGATATAATAAAAATAAATAAAACAACATTGAGCAATTCAACAATTTTCCGTCATATAATCTTCGAGTATCCTCATCAACCAATTATACATGTCATAGAAAAACTGTTAGTTTTCCACTCGATGGAACACGAACTCAATTCCTGTCGGCTCAGTCAAGCTAAAAAGCCAGATGGATTTCCAATAAAACGTCTTATGAGTAATCAATGAACAAACAGTTCGTAATTACCATCATCAACAATGTGGAGAAACTAAGGTCAAGGCTGTATTTGGGTACAGAAATCCGGAGAGCCAGAGGGGCCCAATCATGCTACATTTCAAGACGGCAAGTTTTCTTTCGACTTTCTCGCTTGATTTTTACGGAACCGGTCTTTGAACGCAAGAATTGGTGCTCGACGACCATTTGGTTCAGGTCGAGATTAATAGAATGAATTAGTGGACGTTTTTAATGTGAGAGACAGGAAAATTAATATTTAGTCGATCTTCTTCTACCAGTGTCTCAAATATTCTTATTTGTTAAAAGAATCTTAAATTACGCATTAGAAAAAGTGTGTCAACACCTTGAGTGCTTAAACAAAGAAAACATATTTTTGAATTAAAAATGGTAGAAATGGGTTTACTAGGCAAGTTCGATAAAAAATGTATTTTAACAAATACAATTATTTACTCGGGCTACAGAATCTTGAAAGAAAAAATGTAGAAGTAATAAAGCTCAAAAATAGAGTGCTCATCACTGCAAAGACCATTCAGAACTGTTAGATGAAATCACCTACAGTTGGTCACTTCCTGTATAAATAATGAACTTCCGCCAAAAATCTGGTGTTCTAGAGTATATTAAATGAAGACATCACTGCTAATAAGCGTTTCAATTGGCTTGGTTCCAAATCATCTTTTTTTGTAAACCCAATCGAATGATTGCCGTTAAACCAAAACTCCTAACAGTGGTTACAATGATAATGCGTGCAACTTTAACCCATATTTCACAGGCGAGTTCTTCTGAAGAATGCGCTCTTGTAATCGTTTTATCTCTATTTTCAGTTGCATCACACGGGATGTCGTAACAATTAAGATCTTATCACTAGTTGCAATGTATAAAAAAATTCTGTAACAGCCGCTTTGTATGTTTATGTATATGTCAGCTTTTAGCTTACAATGGTATGGTTAAAAAACTGGCTATAATTTGTTATTTTCTATAGCTTTTCGTGTTTTACAATTGCAGTTTTGTACTTTGCTAGCGCTCTTTGTAATCGCTTCTGTGTTTTTGATGTAATCGAAAGTTTGTTGACATATTTTAGTCAGTTAATAAGCAATGTTTTTAATATATTTATTTTAATTTGGCTTTTGTTTGCAGATTCTCAAGCAATCTGATATGGTTTAACAATATTCTCATCATATAGGTAAGTTTTCTGAAATGTACCCTGATACTTTCAATACAAATTATTGTGATTTTCTGGTAAAAAATTGTTCCGTTTAGGTACTCTTTTGCAGAAACATTTCGAATTTTATTAAACAGAAACGAAGAAATTACACTACAAAACAAACTATACTAAAACCAAAAAAAAAACCAAACTAAAAAACAATATACACCTGAACTGTAACAAATTAAAGGAAACTAAAAATCGTTCAATTTTATTGCCTTCATCAGCACAAATGTAAATTACATTAAAAAATCTGAGAAAAATGTTTATTCAATATTTTAAAGCAATAAAGTACTTAATTAATGAGGAAATGTTTTTTATTTGTGTCTCAAAATGTATAATTTTCAATTATTTTCATTGCTTTTATCCTAGTTTTTTTATCGGTTTATTTAATTAAGAACTTCTACGGTTCACATAATTAACTTGCTTGAATAAACTGTTCAATTATGAACGTCCAGGGACTCTCAATTTTTTAATGGTATTTTCTGCATCAACACATTTAGTAAACAACATTAGACCATGGGCTTGAGGCTTGATATTTTAAAAAACTCGGATTTACACACAATCAACATTTCATGCAGTAATATTTAAAGCTAAAAAAACTGAGGATTAAAGGAAGACTTTGTCCCTTTCGAGTCTACTGAAAGTTAAAAATTTCGGATCTCTGAAGCCTTTGCGATATCCCATCGTGAGAACTATCTTTCCCCAATTAGGTTTTAGCAGAAATTTGCAAAAAAATTTGATCTTGGAAGCTCCGAAAAATATCTGATGATTTTTAAGAGCCTTTTCCATAAACGGTTTTAAAGTCAAAAAAGCATACCCCAGTAATGATTCAAAATATCGCTCAATATTTTCAACAGAGAATCTCAAGAGCTTTTATTCCTTAATTAGTCTGGATCCTAAAGTCCTTGGTGTTTCTAGGTTAGAAGCCAAAATGCAAAACGGCTCAGAAAATCAGAAATTCCTCACCTCCAAAGAGATAGAAGCAAAAGTATTAAAAGTTTTGCGATTTTCAAGGTTCAAGTCTCAAATCACTCTATTTAGAACCTTTTCAATTGCTCATGTCGAGAACTACATTTAACAAATTAAGTTTCATCGGCTAGTCCTAACACCTTCAGAAATAGTCGTAAAAATACTCCGACTCTATTTTTGTAACCCATGTCTGAGAAACTGTTGGAAACACATCAACAATTGTAAATTTTAAATTCAAACTGTTGAAAAATGACTTTCGACAGTTTATTGCCTATTCACTGATTCAACACACATTAAAATTAAATTTTAGTACATGAAATCGCGATTACAACGAGTTTTAGTGAATTAACGCGGCGCTAGGCAAGGCGAATCTTGTTTTGCTTTGGATTTGCTGTTAATGTGTAATTGCTGATTAAATTATCTTCATTATGTAAAATATCCTTCTAGTGATTTGCGTAAGCAAGCACTTACTTAAGCGGAATCAATTCCCTTTACTTTTCCAGAACTACGTCTGGAAAATGCATTTAATATATTTAAGTTGACCCAACGCTTTCCCGGATTTTTCCTACATCAACCATAATACCGTACTCTTGCCACTAAGTGCCATTTTAAATCAACTGAGGTGTATCGTAACGGACAATTTAATTTGATGTAAATAACTACACATTTGGTAGCAAATTGAGATTTCACTTCGTGCATTTGATGAAAAACGCCGAATTTTGAGTGTCGGCTGGGAATTTCACAGGATTTAAAAACCTATAAAATAACAAGACCAGTAAGAATTTTATGGCCATTAAAAGTTAAAAAGATAAATATAAATGACTAAATAAGGCTATCGATATGTCCGCTCGATACGTATTGATATTGGGTGAATCTACACTTCCAAGAACAGAAACATTTCTGCTTCGATGAAATAAACACCCATATTTGTCATTTTATACCAGATACTGCAAATACAACTTTCACACTACAGTGTCGATTGCTTACCTTGTAATGAGCACGTTTACACCGCTCGTTATGAATAATCCCATCTTTATACCGAAACCCGAATTGCTCTCCTCATTGCATGACTTTCAACTGTTGGAAGAATTGTTTAAAACAGCTGAAATTTTCCAACACATCAGCTAATCCAATGCTTTCAACTGCCATTAGTTAGTTACTGAAGGATTTGGATTTACGATATCCAATTAAATCTGGCCAGCTTCATTAGGTGTTTGCTCTGTTCCGATTAGTCACTTTTATTTAAAATGAGGTAAATGATATTTATCATTTCCATGCAACGTGAATGTTTGTAAACGCGGAACTATACTCATTTGTAAGTTGAGTGGTTTGCGTGGTAACTGGGGAAGCTTCACCATGTAAGTTTTTTTCAATGTGTAAAATTTTTATTTTTTATTAGGGCAAAACCGCAAATGGCTTATTTAAGTAGATAAATTTCAGTGTTCTCCCCTATTGCAACAACGCGGGCCATGACAGTCAATTTATTTCCTTAATAAGTGTATCCAGACGACTGGTTCAGCTAATTTCGATAATTATCGATTGCATGAGTCGTCTGAAATATCCAATTAAAGCCACTTTGCACACAAAAGTGAAAACACACGCGAAGAGTCGGATTTAGTTAGTAATCACGATCTTCGTCCAAGTGCCATCATTACCTCACACTATGCAGTATCTTCAATAAGCAAATTGTTGCACGTACAAGAGCAACGATCTCAACAATTGATTCGGTATTAATCGATCTGATGGGAAAATTGGTGAAAGTAAAAGCGGATCTTCAATGACAATGATTATAACGAACGATGTGAAAATGTGCATTTTTTTATTAGGCACATTTTGTACATAGAAATCATCTGTTAGTGAGGTGCTTCCACTTTTACTTCATTTGAATAAAAATATTAATTTTATTGTTGTGTTGGAGAATGTTAGTCGAGGCGACAGATCTAAAATGTAGTTCACTTTCTTTCTGGGCGAATATTAAATGAATGCTTCATAACAAACAGTTAATACTTTCTTTTAGTTACCACTCAGTAGGTGCGGAAAAAACATTCATATCATAGCATGTTGCAGATGAGCGTTCACTTCGAAAAGTCGAAACAGTGTTTATCTAAAAATATTGCATATAAATGTGTTCAGTCACAGTGCATGAAACCACTTAAATTTAATATCCATGATGCTGCAAGAAAATCAAATGTGAACAAAATATTCTCACACATTCTGGCACTTAATCTCTTCTCAAAACTTAAACACTATAAATCAATTTTTTTTAGTTCCAATTCTTAAATAAAAACATTCAACAATGAGTGATTTGCCTCGTCAGCTTGACGCGTTCTTTGCGTCTTAAATAAGCAGTTAAAAGATTTTTGAATAGATTCTCAATTTTCAATCGAAAAGAGTCAAACATCAATTTTAACTTTTCGCCTATTTTCCATTGTATCTAATAATTGTCAAGGTATCATTACTATATTATCCCTAAACACTTCCATTTTTTAAAATCCTCGTTTAGTAGGAAAAACTATCTCTGTATCTGTATTTTTCTTCAGCTGAAAATTCAAAACAATTCCCCTTATTTAAGCAAAATACGAAAGACCTGAGAACGTCTGCGACTTTATGGGCAGGAATGTCTACAGACTTTCTCAATGAAATCAATCTCGTATCATCAATTGAAAGTTTTACTTTACATTATTGCCCTTTCGCACATTTTCCGGTCTTCGTTCCAAGAAAAGCCAATGAAGAAGATACTGGTTTCACCGTTTCTCTTTTAACACCACTGACACATTGCCCGCAAGGTATCGTTAACTGTTTAGGTTCTCACGAGGTACTTAACCGGTTCCCATGATATATATTTGCAATTTTTTATTTCACCCGCAATCTGCAATACTAAATGTTTAACGTTCCTTTTTACACTCAATCGTACACAAATTTAACGAAAGTTTTCCAGTGCGAAGGACCAAATTGTCTAAGCGTGCACTTACGCCCCGTCGAAAGATTCCAGGGAATTAGTAATTCTGCAAACTTCTTAAAATACTCCAAGTTCAAATGAAATATACAACCTACAAGAGCTGGGAACATGTGAACTCTTACCTCACCATCCATAAAGTTCATGATTCTCGACGTATGCGAGTACGGTAACCCTGTAGAGCCGGTTTCCGAGAAACAATCACTATTGGTGGGGTCATTAAGTCCGTCTAGATGTTGGATGAACCAAAAAATGCTCAGTCAGCGCATCTAATCTCATTCAGAAGAAAGCTTCGTGTAATTAGGCAACGGTTTGACCATTAAAAGCAATGGACAAGAGAGCATTTATATCAGAAAGTCGAATATATTAATGTAGCGACCTTATTATTGCAGGGTACAGGGTGATTCAAAATTGGCGGCATTCCTCTGGGGATGTTTAGGGAGTACAGGAAAAAAAGTAAAGTATTATCAAAAACTAGGATGTCTGGAACGCAAACACCTTTTGGTCGTCCACTATCTGCCTCAATTCAGCAGCATTCAGACTTTTTCCAAAAAACGCACCGCTCAATTTGATTTACCTCGTTAAAATTGCTATATTCTCAACAAGTTCATTCTGTCTTCATTTAAGCCATTCTTTGCACTTTAATCTGTAAACATCCCAACCAAGTACACGTTTGTTTCATTTTGTGTTGGCAGTGGTTTGACCCGATGCCCATATGGTCGATTTCACAGGTGTTCTTCATGCCGACTTGATATTCCCAAGATTATGCAGATTTGTCCTCTTCAACTGGCAACCTCGTGGTTTTAAATACATATCGCGCTCATTTAACTTCCTCTTCACGACAAGCAGTTCTTTAAAATGTACAGCGATATCTTAATGAGAGATCTAATTTAATAAGCACTGTTTCGCTTTGATGATAATCTAGATGGGACGAATAAAAACGTAATAAAACTTATTTATTTTCTTCTTCGTCTGTTCTGGGATCGAAAATGTCTTGGTCTGTCTCAGCTTCCGATTCAGAGCCTGCAGTTTCACTCGTGTAAGTTGTGGTTGGAGGTTCTGTTTCCTCATCGCTGCTCATTTCGCTCATAATTTTATCCAACCTTTTACTTTTTGTTAAAAACACTTCTTCTTTTTCTTGAAAGTTCACCAAGTCTTTGTTAATTTTCTGGCAATAAAAGCAGGTTAATATCCAGTAACATAAGCAGGGGTTGATTCAACCTTTAAATTGGGCAGCAAAACCAACACTCCGAGCCGAATTGGATCCAATTCGGGCTTCTTTTCCGGCTGATCTTCCCCAAAAATCTCCTCTTCATCCTCAACTTCATTTTCACCCGGCTCCTCTCCTTGCATTTCCAAACCTTTCTGCCGCTTCCCATCCACCGGATTGCCGGTGTAAACGAGTATCTCCAAACTTGGCAAACAGGCCAGTTTTCTAAATTGCCTCACCTTCGTTATATTGTTATTCCTCAGGTTTAGATAGCTCAGTTTGGTGAGGAACTCAGAAAAGCCATTGAGTTTTCGTATTTTGTTGTCACGAAGGTGCAAAGTGGTGAGGTTTGTCAGTTTGGAGAGCGCCAAGTCATTTAATCTGGTGATCTTGTTTTGGGCAACGAACAATCTTTCCAGGCTAAATAGCAAAATTGCCCACATTGGAACATACAAAAAGCTCCATTTTACCTTTCTGGATAAAGACCACTGAGGTCTATCAAGTGGTTGCCCTTCAGGTCTAATTCCAGCAGATGGGGCAACTTTTCATTATCAAACTGGGCTGTGAAAATCTGGTTAAATTCCAGTTCCAAAGTTTCCAGCATTGGCTGAGAAATGTCGTAAGTCTCTTCGATTTTATTGATATTTAGGCAGAGAGTCTAGAAGAATCGTTACCAGCTGAATTGAATAAAATTTCAATAAAAGCAACGTAAAACCTGCAAATAGGGCATTGTATCCAAAGCGCCAGATTCCACGCGGTTTCTGTTCGCATTCAGCATGAGCAAAAAAGGCATTTTTGCCAAAACTTGCAAAGCTTCCAAATTCAAATAGTTTCCACTCAAATCCAAAAACAGCACATGTTTGAAGTTCAAAATAATCGAAATATCGGTCAGCTTCTTATCCGTGGCAGTTATCATTAAATAGGCATATCTTATACCGCTTTCGTCTTTTCCCAGAGTGTTCAAGCATTTGGAAGCTTCCTCAAAGGTGAGCTTCTTTTCCACAATCGGCACATCGAAAGGAACTATAAATTGAGCTGATGGAGGCTTGAAGAACTCATGATCTTCAGGCAGCAATAATTGTCGGGGCGATTCGCCAAACTCTCCTTCTGCCATCTAATTTTCGGTGAAAAATTATGTCACTTGTCATGATTTGCTCGAAGGACTGATTACATTGAGATTATACAGGATTTTATAAGAGTGCAGGGAAAAAATAAAATAACTTTAAATAGAAAATGTTGATGGAATTTCTAGTAACGTATTATCGGAAAATGACACTATGGATGAATTTCCGAATAGGAAAATAAGATGATCGAAAATTAGTTTTTGTGGTGACTTGGAATGCACAACTTTAGCCAAAATGGACCGAGAGTCCCATTTTCGACACTTTTATAGGGTTTATCCGTAATTGTTCGTGCCACTAAAAAAGTAGTATAAAAGTGATGGTGCTCGCTTTAGGTCAAACTTAAAATGGCAAAATCAGAATTTGAAGATTTTTGCTAGCTTAAGAGATACAAGAAAAAATCAGAAAACTTTCAATTTCAAAATGTCCCGATATTTTCTGAGTTAAACGAGATACATAATGTTTTATGCAAGTTTCTTTATTATGATTGTTGCAAAATCTGCCGTTTTCAGAATAAGTGTCCGGTGTCTGGTAAAAAAGTTATTGGACCTAAACTGATTTTTAAATGGAACACCCTGTATATAGCACTAACAATTTCGGGGACCCTATAAAAGTGTAGAAAATGGAAACACTATATATGAAACAAAAATTTTTATATATATTTTTTATTTTATTTGTAGGACATTTTTTCCTCATACTCACGACACGGATATCACAAAAAAATTAATAAATAACCTCTTTCAAATGTATGCACCTTAAACAGCCAGTTAGTTTCCTACTTGCAAACCGACTTTCTGCAATAATCCTATGTATTTTTTAATTATTATTGGCTGTTTTTTTAACTCTGTGCTTAGAGCACATTCAAATAGGCCTGTGTAACTCAGTGAATTTTTATGAGTTGGCGCCGTGCTACGCAAATGGCTTGGTGCGCCAATCCAACGCACCGGCGCAGTAACTCAGTTCCATTGCTGAGAAAATGTTGATAACTTTTTATTTACTTGTTTTAGATTTATTTTAATGGTTATTTATTAATAATATTTTTTAAATGGCTTCATTTTTTTGGGCAAGTTACTTTTTTTTAAATGCACAATTTTCTAAAGTTTCACTTAAAAATGCTGAAAAATTTAAGGTATTTTCCGCGAAAAATTATGAAATAAATTTCGAATCCTTCGTCGCTTTGCAAAAAGTTTTGAAATCCTTTTCCAGCTTCGAATTTGGAACAAAAATAAAATTATTTTCTATCAAAAAACCAACAGAATAAGCAAAAATTTATAACTGATTATTTGAAAATCTCGTCACCTCTGAAGACTGTAAGAGTTCGTTTAAAAATTGTGGGTTTTTAGTTTTGACTGATTTTTTCTTGCTTTACTTTCTACTCGAGAACGCTCTATTTCGTAGAGTTTCACTTAAAAATACTGACGATCTGGAGGACTTTTACGCGAAAAAATACAGGATAAATTTGTAGCTTAGTACAAGTTCTACAAAAACTTTTTTCGTCGTCGAATTCGGGACAAAAACGACAAAAATTTCTCCCGTTTTTCACCGAAAACCATTAAGGCTTTCTCCAAAACCGATCACAAAACTAAAAGTTTTTAATCGAAAACGCAAAAAATCGCATTCTGTTTTAGTTTTACTTAAAATACTGACAATTTTTAGATATTTTCTGTGAAAAATTGCAAGATAAATTTTATTGGAACGCTCGCCTCCCTAACTGCTGTGCAAAAATTTTTGGAAAACTTTTTGCAGCTCCGAATTATGGACAAAACCGTAATAATTATTTCTAGGTGTTTTTCCAAAAATATTTCCCCGAACTGAAAAAGCCAAAGTTTATAATCATTTATTTGGAAAACTCTTTGAAACTGGGGTTTCTTCACTTTTAGGTAAATATTTCTAAACAGCACGGTCTCTAAACAGAAAAACCACGTTTTCCTAACGTTTCACTGTAAAATACTGACAAACTGAATCTTTTACGCAAAAAAATTAAAAGATCGACTTTACAAGAAAAGTCGTCGACGCTCTTTGGACTCAGTTATGTTGCAGGAAAAATCTAGATGATTTTTTTCAGTTGTTTAAACAAAGTAGTAAAACCTTACTCCGGAAAAATGTTGATGACCTTTTTTTAGATGTGAAAATTCCAGTCTCAGGTTCTCAAGCTTTAATAAATGAATTATAACTCATTAACCGATGAGTTATAACTCGTTAACTCAGAGGGCGGCAACAACTCAATAGCGCAACTCAACACAGTGTTACCCAGACCTACATTCAAATTTAATACCGATTTTTTATTGTTTCAGGTGAGCAACTAGTTGAGCATGTCTTCGGCCATCTGTCAAAATTTCATACAAAACGCTTGGAAGAAAGAACTCTGCTCCAATTGTTTCAAATCGAAAGACGAGCACGCTGTGCCATCGAAACCCAAAGCGGTACCACTAATTGTTAAAACGTCTATTTCTGGAATAATCCGAGACCCAAAAAAATCGAAACCCAAACTGAACGTTGCCTTTACCAAAGAACTAGCTCAATTTATTGGTGAGTATTCTTCAAAAATAAAACCTGCCGAGAACTGCAAAGTACGGGCCATTACAGGATATGGAGGTGAAGATTGGTTATCGGAAGATGAAGCTGCTGAAGAACCGGCATATGAATGCGAAGAAGTGAACTGCGACGATCTATTGACAGATTCAGATGAGGAAGAGCACACAAAAGAAATTAGGATGCAAACGAAAAAGAATACAAACTTCAACACCGTCTCGCTTGGAGAAATGATAGAGGAAAAGAAGAGCTACGCTCATCTCATGCTTGGCAAGCCTGTGGTGAATTCTGACGGGAAAAAGCAGACGCTTTTGGTATCAGTGACGCCATTCGGAGAAGACAGTACACCGAGGAAGTACAATGCCACTAAGAGCTACAGCAGCAGAGAACTGAAAAGTCCCGATAAAGAAGCCTCTAAAAGCAGCAACGTAGTGTTGACTTCATATAATAATAAACCAGAAGTAGACTCATCTAAAGCCGGCAACGAAGAAAAGTCTCTTCTGGACGAAATTTCGGAAACCCTAGAAAAAAGCAACAATTCCATTTTGGGGCGTCGTAAAACACCCGCCAGAGAAACAGAAAATGGCACGAACGGGAATAACAAAGAAAACATAGGCACGGTGCAGATAACCGAAGGACCAATCAGCTGTGAAGTGGCTCAGAAAGTTGATCGTAAAATTAATCTAACCAGAACCCCAGCGTTGAAAAGTCGCGATTTGGACAAACCAGTCTATCAGACTTCAACAGCGCGAATTGAGTTGCTGAGTTCGAAAAACTTGAAAAAACCTCACAAAGACTTGCCAGACAAAACAATTCCTACGCAACAGAAGGAAAACAGCGATACCAACAACAATGATAATAGCGCAGATAACCGCTTGTCTCAAGGAGATCAGAAACTATTTAGAGACATAATCTCTTCATCGAACTTCATTAAGAGCGAAATACAAATTTCCACCTCTCAATTGAATACTGTAAAAATCGATGAAAGTGTCGCGGTCAAGACAAACTCTGAATTTAATTTGCCACTGTCTGAAAGCAGAGAACAAGCAGGTAAGCCGGACGGTCGAGAAGATCCAGAAGCCCCAGAGCTACCGGCCTTACCACTCACTCCACCTCCGTCTTTAGAAAATCAGCCTTCCTTTCTGCATCCCCACGGCGACGTTTGTTCAACAGCGCCAGCCCATGCACCTCCGCTTTTATACGAGAAGCCAAAGATTCCTTCAAAACCCGCCACGGTGCTAATCCGGAAACCAGTTAACATTCAAAATATTAGCCATATGGGACAACAGAACCAACCAATGACTACGTTTACTAAAGAGCCTTTAATCAAGCAGCAGGATTCTGCAGCCGATATGGATCCAAAGTAAGTTTTGAGAGTGAGTTTTAGCGATGTTTGTCTAACTGTGCTTATTCTTAGATGCAACAAACGAAGAGCTCCTCAACCACCCGAAGAGACCATGCCATTGCCCATCAACAACCTTCCGAACACTCCCAATCCACCTCAGTTGTTTACCAGAAATTCTGCAGCTTTGCCCAATGGGGACTCTCCAGTGGTGAGGGAAAAGGAGAAGCGGGAGAGAACCGAAAGGGCCAGTTCATGCACGCCGAAGATGTATATCAGCAACGGAAATAGCGAGAAAGTAGAAAGTCATTATCAAACCCCTGCCCCTATTCCCAGGAAGAGTTTATCCATATCTACTGATAATTTAGTGGTAAGTCCTGCAAGTTCTAGAAGAAAGCGACGAGTAATTATTTGGTTGATCAGGTGAGCGCGGATGAAAAACGAAAACCCAAGGGCAGGTTCTCATTGAGGAAATTCCTCCGAATGGGCTCCAGCAAAGATTTGCCCAGACTATCCGGGGACTCTTCCACTATTGAGGAAGCGAATGATACCCCCAAGCCCAGACCGCGTTTGGTTATTGTCCATCCCAGCGAACTGAACGGTTCTAAGGTGGAAGTTGTAGCCAAGCCGGACCAAATGGACAGTCCCCCAGTGCAGAACTCCAGTAACGAACGGTAGGAGCAGCAGAGGTTCATAAAATGAACGGAAGTAAATTAGGGGTTTTCTGTGAATGCAGGCCACCGTTAAAAGTGAATAAACCGCCACCTCCTCCACGCAACTACGACAACTGGAAGCCGCCAATGAGTGGCCCACCGCCTCCCAAAAGCATGGAAATCCTCAATAAGCAAAGAGCTTTGTCTAGGAGTAGTTCTAACTCTAGTACTGGAGTTACCAAGCCCAAGGCGGAGACGGTGTATGCCAATATTGGAGAAGTTAGGTAAGTAAGAGACGTCCATAAGATTACAATTTTTCCAGCGTTTTGTTAAAAAATGCAGTCAAAACGACAAACGAGTCAATAGCTCTGGAATATGTAGTAGATCCAATTCGTATCACTAGTCCACTGAAAATCACGTGTAGTTGTGAAACAAAATCAGGGTCGGTGTGGATTCAATATATGAGTCGTAATATTCGCGGGAAGATTTTTGAATGAAGGGAACTTAAGTTAAGAGTTACTTAGGCCTAGTCTTATTAATTACTGCCTGTGCTTCTTTGAGGAGAATAGAATGCAACAATTTCCTTCTACACTACACGCGGTTATCTCAACCTTGTGTGATTCTTTGAGACGCCCGTCACTAATCCAAAAGTCCAAGAAACATAAACATTGATTAACAAGAATAAAATGAATGCAAGAACATTTCCCCAGGTCTTCCATTGTTCCCAACAAACCGGTTCGTACGGCCAGCATGAGAGAACGGGAAGCGCAACAGCAGAAACAACTCCAGCAAAGAAAGGACAACTACGACTCAGTGGGAAATGGGCGCTTGAAACAGTCGGAAAACGTTTACGATTACGTTAATAGTTCTAGTAACAGATCCAGCAGCCCCAGCAGCGACTCCAGCGGTAAAAACAGCCCCAAGTCGAAAACCGCCCGATTGAATAAAAGGTAAAACCATCTATAATTCAGGGTGGAATTTACAACTTTGTCTCCTTACAGGTCGGAAAGTTCCATCGATGTTTCTGGAGAATATTTCAAATATGGAAATATTCCTAGAAGTATGTCGCTCACTTACTGTGGAAGTGAAACCGAATCGGAAATATACGCTCCTTACAGCTTCTATGGGAGTGAAACTGAGGTTTGGCACATCTGGAGCCAAAACTGTTCAACCATCTTTGACAAAACTCTTGATTTTTAGGTGACTGAAGATGATCATGACTGGATTCAGAACGGTCGCACCCATAAACTGCGCTCAAAGAAGGGGAGAAGCATCGTTCATAAGAACCTCGAGGACAATTATGGGGCTGTCGTAGTGGCAAATCATGAAGCCCTAGCCCAAGTTTTGGAAAATGTAAACCAGCTGCTCAGGATAATTTCTTGTCTAGGCTGAAGTTCGTATATATTTTAGATTCAGCAAACGGTGTACATCCAACCTGCACTGCGGGGTTTAAAAATGTGCTCAAATCTCCGCTTAATGGACTTTTCGATGAAAACTGGAACTGCTCCGGTCAGTATCGGATCCAGAACATTCCGGCAAGCCTTATGGGGGGCGCAGCACGTAACCTTAGCATTCAATACTGGCATTAGTACTTCCAGTACCCTGAATTTAGGAACTTTCCATTTAAATTCCGTCACTGATTTCAGCGACTTGATCCCTTCCGAATACTGTGCTAACGAGAAACAGACCAAAAAGCAAGTTCAAGGTAAAGACAGGCGTTAAAAACAACCTTAACTGCAATAAAATAATATATTTGGACATTTCAGCAACAATTTCCGTTTTACCTTGGCTTCAAGTGCACACCATCGAGTCCTATGGAGCGTTGCTCAAGACAAAACCAAACCAGGATGAAACTTGGAGAGACGGTTTCTTTGTAATGCTTCAATTAGTGAACGCCTTGAAGATGCTGCAAGCCCAAGGCATCGAAGAACTCCCATTGAGCTTGAACAGCTTCATCCTGTCCAAAGAAGTGGATAGAGAAACGCACCATCGACTGTGCATTATGCAAGGGTTAGTTTTAAGCACAAGACTCTTCAGTGAATGTCTCAACTTGCATTATTTGCAGAACTTTGCCTTCGGAACTAACCACGCTGACTTCACCAGAAGAAAAGTACGGTTCACTTTGCACTTGTGCCAGCAAAGCCATGTCTTTGCTTCAGCCCAACTCCAAAACCACCACGCTGATTCAGTCTTTACTAAATAACGAACGATCAGTGTCTTTAACGCAGGTCAAGGCAGTGCTCGAGTTCAGCCTTTGGGGGCCTTCGGACGTGTCTCTGGGAAGCACAGTGAGGGAACGCGAACTCACTTTACAAAGGTTGGTTTAGTTTAGGTTCGCAGTGCGTTTAATTGCAAATTGAATTCATGCAGATGGTTGGATCTTCAACGCGCCACAGTTCTGCATGGGCTTGTATGTACTCGAGTTCAGCTGACAGTGTACGAAGAATGTCATCTGCTTTTCCTAGTCAGAAGCAACGCCAGAATGATGAGCGATGCTTCAATGCTTATCGAGTCAAACAATCTTAAACATGCTCACACTAGTAAAGCATGAGATAAACGCTCTAATTACAAAAAAGCAATAAACCTGATAGTTGAGAGATCTGTCCAATGTGAAATTATTTTTTAAAGGATTTAAGCTTCCGATGGGTAAATTATTTAAATAGATGTAACTGAATTGAACTCCTACTTTTAACCATGTTATAATTAGTTCTCTTGAAAAGGCATATACATTCTTAACGATTGGAGGATTGATTGACTACTAATTAACAATAGATAATAGCCACATCGCTTACATATAAAACGATCAAATATTGCCTAATATTTGATTTGCTGGGTAGATTCATTGTAAATATTATCCAACTAGCATGTAAAACTGCCATTAGCTACTGTAAAATCTCCATCGAACAAATGATGTTTTGTACAGTTTTTGTATGTTTCTATAAATATCGATAGAGTAAATTATTGCTTTAAAAACCCTTTGTACATAGGATAAACCAGTTTAGTTTGATTTTATAATTTTAATTTATGCCATGAATATATTGATGATATTGAACTGTTTAGTATTTGTAAATGTTGATTAATTGAATTTAACGATCTGCTGCCCCAAGACAGAAAATACACGGTTTTGATCGAATGATCAAGCTCTGAAGGACTGAAAGCAATAAAACACGCGACAAAAGAAATCAGGCAAATACGTTTTTTTCGGGATTCCAGGCGAAAAATCTACTTTAATAAGCAGAAATATTGCTCATTAGAGAAAAACTCCAACATCGTTCCGCCTCGACTAATTATAACATTTAACATAATATTTAAAATCAAATATGAGAGTAAAAGCGATCTACATGTTAACTAGGGACAAAGTAAAACCAAATTTACCGAAAGCTGCATCGTGCCACCTGGAAGGAACTAAAAACATTCTTCAGTGTATACAGAACGTTGGTTGAAAACCCAACAAAAAAAGAGCTAGAAACTAGCCTAAGTTTCTTTTGGAAAAACTAAACTTAGTTGAATCTAAGAAATCTATAGATTAGAGATCCTTCTTACCAGCTTTCCGTTAGCTGGCGCTCCATCCTCCATTTTCTACTCATTATGTAATCCTCAAAAAGGACACACTGCACTTGAACACACAATGAAGATCGACAGTAGTTTGAAAACTTGCTGCCAGTCCAACAGGCAGGAAGACCTTCCGCACTTGTCGTAAAAGCGCCACAAGAAATCACTCTGTATATTCCAGCAAGACGCACAGATTCGACGACCTATTCGTTCGTTTCTCGCAGAAAATTAAATCACAATTAAATATTTAGGCCGCGATCTGCAGAACTAACATGAAATATATAATCGTTCATTTCATTGTCCCTTTGATGATTCATCACATTACTTTGCGGTTCGATTTCAGTTTTTTTTGTTTACTATGTTGTAGTGTAGGAAGTTCCAGTTTATACGGCATTATTTTCATCGGCAAGTTTGACAAAAACGAGTAAACAAAAGAGATTTCGCATTTACATTTACAAGTGTTGTAATTTTAAAGTAGGTACAGGATATTAAAGACAACCAGCGTGTTACGGTAGAAAAACCTAGAATAGACACTATATATATTCTAGAATATGTATATTCTAGAACCTGGAATATTCCCAAAAAATAAATAATAAAGTCGTTTGTTTCCGAAATATATTATACCTGACATTTATATGTATTTAAAGACGTTATCAAATAAAGAAATTCTTCAAAGAATTTCCAAACTTGTGGTCTTTTTATAACCAACATATGACTTTTTGCTTTCTTGTGAAATCTTAATTATTTATTATATCAATTGCTCAAATTTACTCTTGCGAGTTTTGATATATTTAGATAAGAATCTTGCGTGCAGTATTCAGCAGTAATTTATGCTTTAGAATATACGCGTTATTTTTTTTTCCTTAAAACCAAGGAACAAACTATTCCTCCGAACGACGATATTAGCAGATATTCGCTCTAGTAAACCTATCGTAAATTTGCGTTGGAAAAATAAAATTTACGCCCAATGGTAAACAATCACATAACTCTACTTTGATCAGCTAAATATAAATTGAAACCTGAGGTTGTCAAGCTTTGGCATTGTCTGGGCCCCTTCGCTAGGATTCGTCCTTTTCCTCCCATGGTCTGGGCCCCCTGATCTGTTTCCAGTTGTCCAGATCCAAGTTTTTAATCTTCTCATACTCACTCTCCAGTGTAACCTCGCCAGGTTTCTTTTTTTCAATGCCGTGTTTCTGCGATTCCTCGTAGGATAACGGCGACACTTTACTGAACTTGTATCTTTAATATTAAGTAGGCGCTTTTAGTGAGTTAAAGAAAGTGGTTTGGAGGCTCAGTACTTACCGAAGTGATGTAAATTCTCTGAGCCCAAATGATCCTCCCACCATTAGAAGTAAGAATGGTAAGCCGAATTTAACGGAGCGTTTCTTCATAAATTTGGTAACCGCACTTAAGTTAGATGTAGTCATTTTAGTAAATTATTTAAAGTTTATATAAATTTAGGGCTAACAGCCAAAGTGCCAAGCAGATATAGGTTATAATGTGAAGTTATATACTCGGTTATAATTCTCGTCTTTATCTATGATGTGAAGAACCGTGGTTTACTACGGCAACCTTAAATACGTTTCTCAGTTTTTGACGTGTGGAACAACATTCAAACCACAGCAGTCTCCGTAATAATTTAATAGTTATTCATACATATAAGTAGGAAACTTGTGAAGTGATGTGATAATTCGAACTAAAAGGGCCATTTTCCCGTAGGACTTAATTCGGTAAGTTTCAATTTTATTAAACAGACCTTTCACCTTGCCGAAGCCCATACATTTAAGCAATTTCCTCCCTGAGTGCACTTAAAAAACTATCAACCGGTTGCTTCATTGCTTTCCTGTGTCTTTTTCCGCAACACTCAAGTTATGCAACTGACTTAAAACTAGATCAGGAATTTTTTCAGAGTCCGTAAAACTGTAAAGCTCACCCGATTTCAGCTTCAACAATTCACTGTTTTTTACCCAAAAATCATCTTGAATAAGGTCCTCGTGTAATGGCAGCACTACAATTTTATGTTTATCATTTTTGAAAGGATGCATGATTTTTTTCTTCAGTAAAATCGTGCCTTTCTTGTACATTTGCGGCTCGTTATTGTAATTAGTTTGAAACTCACTAAAAAGTATTTCGTTTTTATCACTCGAAAGAGTGCCACACAGTCTCTGCTCTGCTTCAGCATTGGTAAGGCCCCCTTTAAGAACAAGGGCCCAAAATGTTGTGTTATAAAGGTTGTTAATGTGGCAATCTGCCTGCCTCCAGCTCAAATAGTCCCTTAACGTTTCGTCCGTTGGATATAAAATCACACGCGAGTCAAAACAAGGCGGATATTTCAGTTTCACATCCTTGAAATATTCTCGCCAAAAGTACACATATGAAGCACTGAATAAGCTGTTGATGTAAGTCGTAATTTTCGTTTTTCTGCGATTGTACAATGTGGTGTCTTTACGAAACACAAACGAATACTCATCACTCTGTCCATATGCGATGAGAATGTCTTTGTACTCGTTCAGAACACTGCTGGCAGCTCTATTCATCAAATGCAAAGCTCTCGGATCGTTGGGCTTTTCAAAATCGTGCTTTTTGGAGAATTTGTGAAATGCTTTACCATCGATTCGCACGACGATCCAACAATTGGGGAGCAGATAATCTTCACTTTCATATGTTCTCACATATTCAAACTTGCTTTTTGCCATTTTTGTTGCACTGAATCTAGCCTTTAGTTGCTGGAATAAATTGCAATATGCTGAGATTCGTTTCGTAAACATTACTATTTTTTTTACAATTAGCAGGAGGTTAAGTTGGGCAAGTTGCGTTCTCTTCGTTAGATGTTTTACAATGTTGCTAGCGTTGTACTTTAATAAAAAATTAAAAAACTAAAAAAATTAAGTTCTTTAGAGATGCACAGTCGGATCCTTGCTGATATAAAGTATATCCCCTTAAATGTGCACAGTTTTGACTTTAACTCCGTAAAGGTTATCAATATCGGATAAAGCTTAACTAGAGAAAGTCAGTTTACGCTCTATCTTCCGAAAAGGTTCTATATATTGCATTTATGATTAAGAAATTGTTAATAGTTTCCGAGATATACGAATTTAAGCTTCGACATGTTTAACCTGTCGAATTTAAAGTTTTGACTTTATGCGTTTAGAAGTTAGAAATAGAGTTAAAATTTCTATCCCCAAAGTTTGAACGCGGTCACCGTAAGACGAAAAATAAACAAGCCTTGTCAATGTATGTTATCACAATCTTTATTACAAGCTAATACACTATATAAAGAAAATTCGGTAGGTATTAGACTATTAGTACTGGTAGTCAGGAGGCGGCTTCTGCCCCAACTGTGAAGGATCCTCCATCGGTGGCAATTGAGGCTGAAACTGTTCAGCGCTCAATCTAGTGAATAGAATTCCTACGCCTTCAATTAGAGCCAGCAAAACGCCTCCTGTGAAAGCAAGACTTTGTTAAAGGCTCCAAGTTCGATTTAGACTTAACATGCCGATAAATGCACTGCCAGCCATGGCCGGTAATCCATTTCTTGCTGCCAAGATTCCTCCAGTAGCTGCTCCACTGATAATAGAATTCCATGGATCTTCCTTCTTCCTTGCATGAATGAGAGCGCAGTCTATTGTTGAGAACATTCCTCCCCAAACAGCAAAGTTTCCTGCTATTATGGGCGATCTTTGCTTTATTGCGACTAGGGACCCGAGCTGCAATTACCTTTGAACTTTAGCGCCCAATTTTTAAATCAAAACATGGTTTTCATACTGACCAAGCGACGATTTATACCGGAGGGCGCATTTCTAAAGCCTTTGATACTTTGGAATACTCCCCCGCCAATCAGCCCCATAGTGAAGGCGCCGCCACAATCATCTACAATTCTCCAGGGGCACGGTTCTCTTGTATATTCTTCCATGTATTAATTTATCTAAAATGATGCAATGTACATTGAAAACATCTGATCAGTACAACTGAGCGAACTTGGGCTAAAGATTCATTCACCTTATATCTTCAAAAGCACGTTACTTTCTAGGTTGAACTACCCTTTGAACGGAGGTAGAAAACGAGCTTCTGTATAGGTATATGTGGTTAAAAGCGAAAATACTCCAATTGAGCTCTCACAAATCGTTGCCCCGAAACTCTAAGTTGGTTGTGGAGAGACACTTTTTATCACTGAATTATTTTTTAATTTTCCGTATTTTCTTACATAAAAGTGACTTTTTACCCCAACTATCACAACCGCTGCAGATTTTAAGGTTAAGCTTAAAAGAAAGCATGACGGCTGCCAATATCTTGCATAAGACCCAGCCGCAACCAGCAATACGAAAACGCGGGAACTATTCAAAACGAGTCTATTTTTGTAAATTCGGGCCGCCTAAAAATAAAACTAGTGGAAAGTTACCGCCGAATCAAAATAGATTCATTTCTTTTGCGTTCTAAAACGCTCGTGTGCACTACCTACGTTCAGTTCACTTGGATTATTTCGTCGAAAAACAAAGAAAATGGCTCAGGTATGTCAAAATCCCATAAATTCAATTCTTTTGGAGATAATTTAAAACTTTAAGGCACCAGAAGTACTCCCCACCAATCCGCAAGAATATGAGCGTGCTCTTAAGGTAAACTATTTAAGAAATATCTAACTGCTCATAGAAAAATCCCCATTTATCATATAGTTGAAAGACATCGAAATTGCCAGCTTGAACCAGAAGCTGGAGTTGTTGGAACTGGAAGTAGCAGAAGCGCAAAAAATCAAGACTCAAAAAAACAAGCAGACTGAAGAAGTGCAAGCTTTAAAAACCCAGTCGGAGGGCATCTTGACCAAAGCAAAGGCGATGATTTTCGAAAACACCAAAGTAATTAAGAATCAAGAACTGCAAATCGAGGCATTGGGTCAGCAGAATGAAAGTCTCAAAGATGTGATTAACATTACAAAAGACCTATTGGAAATCAGGAACTTGGAAGTGAAACAACTGGAAAACAAAATCGAGGCTATGGAAAATAAGGTGAAAGCTGAGAAACAACGCCAGGATTTGCTGCATCAAAAGTTAGAGACGATGATTCGGCATAATGGAGAACTGAAGCGCGAATATGAGACCCAGTTATGTCTCTTTAATGCCTTAAGGGAAAGATACAGTGAAAAGGAATTAGCCAAAGGTGTTGTGGAGGATTTGCGTCATGATGTTGCAAATGCGCGATTAGAACAAAGAGTTGAACAAAATGGGACGCCAACTGTGGAAGCCAATGGTGATGCTACAGCTAGTGACGCTCCAAAGGATGAAGGCGGTGAAACTTCCCAGCCTGAAGGTGGAAATAGCACTTAATAGGAATTTATCGCTTTATTTACATTTGTATATAGAAGGAGGATAACTTCATGTAAATTATGTTGCTTTTTTACCGAATGTTAAATAGGTATGATGGAACGTAATAAAAAATATACTTGAAAGTTTGTTTTCATTTTGAAAGAAAACCAATGCTTTGAAAAATATAACATAACTTTTATTATTTCACTTAGTTTCCTATACTTATAATAAGATATAAGTGTTATGACTAAATTTGGTTTATTGTACTAATAAAAACATTTGAATTAATATAAACCCAACGCTTGAAATTATATACGTTACAATCAGTGAGATTAATTCCTTAGATAATAATAAGAAGGCAAATAAAAATGTATTATAAGAGACAATTACTATTAAATAGGTTTAAAAACACTTTGCGGTTAATTGTACAAGTCTGGTGAAGTTTAAACTTTTAAACTCAAGAGTGATTTTAGTTTTGCCATTTAATGACGCTGATAAATTACACACTGCCATGTGAAAATTAGCTTGGCTATTAATTTGCTACTAATTTTTCAGTAAAAAGTACGGATTGCGACAGGTGATAATCTCAGACCAGTTTTGACCCTATCAGATCTCATCAGTAGGGTTTAGCCCTAACACAGCACTCCCGGATCTTGTAATTTATTTCGCCATGTATTTTACATTGGCGCCGATATGGAGGAAATAACGTGCAGATTTCGGGCGTGTTGCTTTCAGGCGAAACCTCGATGGCCTTAAAGGTGTCTGAGATTCGCACGTTTCCAAATCCGTACCTGCTTACATCCGAAACTTTTGAGGGTTCTGATGATGCCGAAAGGTTAATTGTTCTTCACATCTGATATTATTGCGTACCATTTTATCACAACTATAACAAATAAAAAATTCCCTTCTGGTCTTTTATATTGTTTGTATATTTTCTATTTCGCAAATTTACAGTTTTCGCCGTTGCTTTGCTTTGTCTGCGGAACTGAAATATATTTTCACTTTTCAACAGCTACTGTGAAAGAATCCGAATCTGAGGTTTATAAGTAGATTGTTTTCCCAGTGATTTTAATAAACAAATCTGCATTTTTCAAGTGCATGTTGAAGTTAAATACGCAAATCAATCTGATTCGACTAAACTGGAAGGATAATCAAATGATAAAGTAATGCGGATAATCTCCTGGCGGTTTTAAAACATTTATTTGTTTGACGTACAAGGAATTTTAGAATTAAAGTTACCAAAATTGAGAAGATATTCCGCTCAACGAACTATAGGCGTTTCGGTTCAATCATATATGATGATCGTTTTTGCAAGATTCAAAAAGTTGAAAAAAAAAAATTAATTTGTTGGTGGGAGGTATTGTTTTGAAGAAAACCAGCAAAAAGAAAATCTGATGCCAATTTCGATCAAATGAAAAAATCAAGAAGCATTCCTAAATCCGCTAAAATTCTGCATACATGTGGTGACCCATTTTAGAACATTTCGTTCCCGAATAGATGGATTTATCGTGCATTTCCATGTGAAAGCGTAAACATTCTGAAACTATTTGAATTCATAATGGAACGGAATCGATTGTCTGGAACTATTGACTGTGTGAATTGCATGAATCTAAACATTACTCATTGTTTTAATTCAACCTGGCAAGAAATTGTGAAATTTCAGTTTTCTTGAAATGTAAGCTCAAAAATTTTTATATCACCACGTAACCAACGCTAACTATCAAATTTTCATCGACGTTTTCTATCCGAAAAATAAATTCGATTTTTTTTGAAAATTTGTTGCTGTACATTTTAGGCAAAACTGAACATGTGGAGGTTTCGGATCAAATTATCGCCATGCTTTAGAATTTTTGCAAAAAATATGACTTTTCCTTGTTTTGCTCGTTCTATGTAGTATTCAGATGGGCAATAAACTTCTAGGCTTTCTAACTCCGAAATAAGGCATTCGAAGACCCATATTTTTGGGTTATTACGAACATTTTTGTTGAATGGAGTATTCCCTAGACTTTTGTCAATTTAACTCTGAAACACCTCGCAAAACTACCGAAAATGTACCATAATACGCAAAGGATTATTTACATATGCATTATCATTAAAAAAACGCGCAGAATTTGCCGAAAAAAATACGCCAATTTCCAGATGGAAAGATCAAGCACATAGCGAATCCCTAATGCCAATCAATGAAAATGGAAACAGCGAATTGTGCACCATCCAAATCTCTAGCATAACCCAAATAACCCAAAATGGCAGTGATTAAGTTGCTGGTTCCTACGATATGTTGTTTGGACACTTTTCACACTAGAACTTCCATCTTGTTGGCTTTGCGTAGCACTCGAATCTGGCCCGGTTGGACTTCCGGCAAGCCACATTTGAACATGAAAGTTACTGTTTGCGACCCGAAATTGGCATCAAATCTGCGAAACAATCAACGTAGTTTAAAATCGATTTTTACTAGGACTATTTTAAGGCTCTTACTCTGTGGTGATGTTCACTTCGGGTGGCTTTCCAGTAGCATTTTGAACCACCAAGAAGAGCTTGGTAACGATTTCGATCACATGGCCAGTTTGGAAAACGAAATCCCCCTTCTTTCGGCTCATGTCGCTCTGAAAGAGGCAGCCCGGAGTATCGGAAGTGACACTAGAAGTCTCTGCATTCACTACTGAGGGCTAGCGAAGATACTAAGTTAGCAAGCATCTCTACCAAAAACTCTTACCTAAGTTTCTATATCATAAGGAAAATAGTGAGTTCCAGAAGAATGAATGCAAGTCCCAATAAAATTGCGTCTATCAAACTCATCTTCAATAAAACTTTTTGCTAGTAAACACACCGCTGATTTTTATGATTTTTTTACAACGGGGTTGTAAAAGCTCGAAAATGTTTATTCAAATAGCATCAGGCACTATTTTTTATAGATTTTAGAAATGTTGGTCTGAAAGTGAATTTCTAACTAGGACAAGCAGCAACTTGAAATTTCTACTATAGTCTATAGGCGACACTTTAGTCTAAAAACTAATGCCATTTCGTTGGAATTGCTTAAAAGTTCTGATTTTTGCGGAGTTTTTAAATGTCGGTCCGCAAATAAAGTTTTCACGCAATTGCAGGCTCTTCAATTAAATTTTCCAACTTCTTATTTATGACAAGCAGCAACTTCAAATTTTTACAGTCTATAGGCGACACTTTAGTCCAAAAACTCGCGAGATACCATTGGAATTGCTAAAACGTCTGATTTTTGCGGATTTTGTAAATGTTTTCACGCAAATGTACACTTTTCAAGAAACATTTTAACTTCTGATTTAGGACAAGCAACAACTTGAAAGTTTTACGGTTTATAGGCGGCACTTTAGTATAAAAAATTCCGCGATTTCATCAGAATTGCAGTGAATTCTGATTTTTGCGAATTTTATAAGTTTTCGTCTAAAAATGGACGGTTTCATGAAAATGCAGGTTCTCTAATAAACATTCTACAGAAAATTTCTTGAATCTATAAAGACCGCTTGAGTCTAAAAACGCTCATTTTTTTATTCAAATCTCGTTGAAAGCTGATTATTGCGCATTTTATACGTGTGGACTAAAAATTAATGTTTGCTAGACCGCAGACTTTCTAAAGAATTATTAGCCCCTAATCCATGGCATGTAGCAACTAGAAATTTAAACAGTACTTTGTGAGGGTTCAAAAAAGCGCTTTCTCGCAAATCTGGACTTTTCATTCTTACACAAAAAATGCCTCAAACCTCATTACCCCTGTACATTGATGAACAAACCGTTTCGAACCCGTTATTATAAAAAAAACATATTTTAAATAATTTAGACGTTTCTTCTGGGACTCACTGCATATCACATTATAGAGGTGCGACTTCTAAAGCTTTACTAACTTCCACTATATTCCCTAAAGCTCTATATGAAGCTGCCTCATGCACTTACCGCTTTTACATGAACTACTGCCACATCATCTAGAAAAGGAGACAAAGACATTCTGTAAATCTCTGTCGCAGGTACTCTATATTTAATTTGCAGCGTCCGTTGGTCCAGGATTAGCATAGATCTTGTCGATATCACCAACAAAATAGGAACGAACTGAAACAATTGGCTAATTTAACGCTGGCCATGGATAAACAAAGAAAGTTTTGGCGTACTTTTCCACTAGATCTAGCAATCTTATTAATAATATCAGCAAAAACTACATATTGGTCGTTATTCTCCAGACTCATCTTCTTCCACTGAACATTTTGCCTGAGGCGCACGTAGTCGCCCAAAAAAGGATGGGAAACACTAAAAAAACACCAAAAAAATTAAAACTTTAACTTATCAATGACACTGTCTACTCACCTTCTGGGATATGAACACTTTCGATCCTTAAAGATAAAGCTTGCAGTCACTTTCTCTCGCATGCGATTTCTTGCGGTTTGATCGAATTTCAAGCTAGAAGTGAAGTTGCATGAAGCACTGATAATTCTCTACCATTCACTTGGCTTTTACCGGTATTTGTGGCACCTCCATCCATGATGGATTTTCTTCAATAAGTTGCAAGCTTCAGAAATTCGCGGCATCGAAGATGGCCATTCGCGACAGAGTGGAGAATCCCCATCATCTGGCAATCTTATCATTAGTGTCAACAGATATTGCCTCCTCTAGAACGCCAAGAAATGAGCTTCAAACTAACGGTTTCAGTTAAAGAGTTCACTTACCTTCCATTGAATGTAGTGCCTTTGTATCACTCTAGCAGCCCATTCCACTTGCTTTCTATGCTTCAAGATTCTATACTCTTCTCGAGCCTAAGAAATGAATGAAATTAATGGGAAGAAGAAGCACCAAATGAAAACATCAATAGCAATACTTGATTGGATTGTTGTCCCAAAAGAGTTTTTGTGATAAAATACAATGAATAAAGCTGTGTCTTTGCTAGGAAGCAATGTTCCAGAGAAAGCTTTGCTAGCTTCCATAATACAATAATATTATGCCTTTACATCATACCACGTGATACAAGCACCATAAATGCCCGCGTCCTTGAAAAGGTATTCCGTATTTTAATTCCTGGCAAAAAAAATCAAATTGAGGGTCAAAATGGGCATGGGAACACTTAATTTTAAACGCATAAATGCTGCTTACCCTCCAACTGCGCCAAGCGGAAGCAATAATCATCTGACTTTGTCTGAGTCGCTGATATTTATTTTTCTGGCTGTAGCCGCGCCAAGTTTTTTGAATTAGAAGCGCCAAATCGTGCAAACGACTCCTCCGGAAGTCCTCCAGCTCAAAAACGGTTCTTGGACTTCTGATGAATAGCTTTGATCTGCCTGAAAGGCGATAATTTAATTGCATTTTGCTACCAGTTAAGTGCAGCCTCACCAAATGTAAACTCAGCTGAAGGGATCGGTAGGCTTCTGAGCAGAATTGAAACGCCTTCGACTGGGGAACTTTTCCATTTCGGCCAGGTGTGTTTACACATCATTTTATAGCGGCACAGAAACTGAGCAAAAGGCATTCGTTGGCAAAAACCTCCTCTCCAGATTTGGACAGTTGATAATAGGCACATATACCTCACCTGAAGATTCGGACACATTAAACAAAATTGGAAAACGCAACTATATCGAAGTTCAAAAAAGTTTTTCGAAACATTTTTTAAGCAATAAATTTGATAACTAAAGTAAGATAACAAATCTCATGTTCTTAATGTTGTTGGTTGGTTGAAAAACAAACATTTCTAATCCCATTTGTGTAAAAAAGTAATAAAAAGTCCAAAATGCAACTTCAAATCTAAAGCCTCTCAACTTTCGCATGATACATCGTTTAGACCGATGTTCATAATTCAATCTGTATTATTGCCTTATGACTTGTTAGTGAATCACCCTATGTATTCTGTTAGTTGAGAAAATTGATACTCACTTGATGTTGGACCAAAGGAACTTCAAACATTTTTGATTGCTTCGTTTCATTTGGTTTAATGCACCTGTGGAAATTGCTTGATAATTTTAATCAGTGCCATCGGCAAAACTTACCGAATATAATGAGTTTGTCGATGACCTACGCTTTTGAACAAAGAACCCAACGAAACTTGAATCTGAGCAGACGTACTGATAGGTCGCTTTACGCTGCTCCTAAAGTAAAGGAATAATTTATTTGAGCAGAGGAAATTCACTATCTGCCTGACCTTTTAGGGTTGCCTTCAGGAAACAATTCCTGCATTATACTTAAATCACATCTAAACATTGCTCGTGAATGCTCTTTAGGCAGATTGTCTCGATTTTTGTCGATAAAGCCGTGGATTTTGTAGGTTACTGAGCCAGCAAAGTGCCGAATTCTGCAACATCCGAAGAATAACACTACCAGACAAGTGAAACTCCAAATAAACTCACTGAAAACTATTTGCATTGTTAACAGCATCAATTAAACAATGTGTATGTCCAGAACAGCACTGTTCTAAGCGCATTAAAAACGTCTCATCAGTTTGAACGTGAGGTTCTTCTAGCAGAGCTAATATACCATGGTTATCGGTTTCAAACAATTGACAAATGGCTCTGAAAATCATGCATCAAATCAGTTTTTTCAATGCGAAAGTTATATAGCGCGAATTACATATTATTGAAAAAGTCGATCTTGGTCCACTCCAGTCCCTCCTTAATGAGTTCCTCTTGTTCTTCCTTCAAACAAATGTTTGTCATGAATTGATGCAGCTTTTCATTGCAGTAGTTGATAATTAGTTGCTCGAAACTGTTGGTTTCAAATGACTCAAATCCATACAGATCGAGTACACCTAAAACTCGTTTCTTGCCCAGTGGTTTGGCCTGAAACGTATTGGTAAAATTAAACCGTTGAAGGTCAAGCAGATTTTTCCAAACCCACTTTTATGGAATCATTGATTTTGTTGATCAACCAAGTGAAGAGTCGGCTATACAAAGTCCTACATAGAATATCGCGCAGCCTTGTAGCTTCTAAAGCACTCATATCTGTTAAGACTCCGTCGTCCAATTGTTTGCTGGTTAAGACTCTTTGAATCCATCTATGGTCTGCTGAGAGTAACTCACACACTTCGAATAATTCTGAAAATCCACGATTAAATGTTGTAGAATCTATAAGTGGCGGAGGCAAAGCCAGTGGCTCTCACAACCGTATCAATAAGATGTGGAAGCATTCGATTAAACATCAACTACCAATCTTAAACTCACTCACCATAATCATTACTAATTGAACACCCATCTGTACCATCTATATTATTGCAAGGCACAAATTGTAAATTACCTGTGGAAAAAATGTTGAAAATTCAAATTTTAAATGTTGACTAACTCGTTCACTGACCTAGTTTCAAAATAACAGCTAACACTCTAAAAATATCAACAATATCGTTTGGCAAGAACCCCAAAACTTCCAGGGCCCCTTTCGTGTATACAAACAGCTTCTTGTCATCTTCTTCAGTAACTGTGGGATGATTGGATTCAGTTTGAAGAATGGCATACTGCTCGACGTTCCTTTGCAGTTTTAAACACTCTAAAAGTTGATAAAAGGAGCTGAAGAACTTGCAAAGTGGAACTACTATTTAATCCCAATTTTATTTCAGTGTTAACGGGGAAAACTTACTGAGCAGATGAATATCAGCTCCAGACAGAAGTTGATAAAAAATATGGAAATTTCTATCGTGCGAGCCCAAGCTTATAATCCTTGCCTGCAATGCAAATGTGTTTAATAATCCAGAAGATTAACATTTTAGACTGTCAAAATTTCAACGAACGATGCAACGGATAACTTTTTTTTAAGTCAAATAACGGAATAAAGCTCTAAAGCGCTCTTGACATTATAATTTATTGTAGAATTAAATCTCTATTATTTATTGTAGAAAAAAAATAAAAAGTTTGATTGCGCTTTTAAATTTTCCAAAATAATCAAGGAACACCTTGCATAAACCAGATGTTTTACAGATATTTACCTTATCCAAAAAGTCTGTTAGCAGCAATAAAACATTATAAATTATACATTATGCATTTTCAAATAGGTTCTGCAGAAACAACTTACAATTAGTTAAATGGCCTCCAATAGGGTCTCCCTTAAAATCGAACTCAATGTCCAAAAATTTTCCCTGAAATTATTACATTTTTTTGCAATCTATGCCAAAAAGTTTCCAACTTACAAATCTAGAAGCATTGCCATTTTTCATAGTTTTGGCATTTCCAAAGGCTTCCAGCAAAGTGTTGGCTTGCACTAGACGATCTTTGATTGTTTGCACTTCCACCGAATTTCCTGATACCAGAACCAAAAATTGAAGGACTATTCTAGCTGCTTCTGTTTTTCCTGAGCCACTTTCGCCTGAAACGTCGAAGTAAGACATAAAATGCCTTAGGCAAACTTGAATACTGAAATAGGCTACCTGTAACTATAATGCATTGATTTTCGCTTTTATCGTTCAACCATCTGTAAGCTGATTCTGCAACTCCATATCTGGAAGAAAAATTCGGGTTTAAATAAGCGAAATTGGGCTGATTGGCAAAGCCTTACATATGCGGAGGTAACTGAAATGGGGGCCTTTTCATGTAAGTTTCAACCAAATCTGCAGAGTACAGGGCAAGTTTCTTGTAGGGGTTTACAGATACTAAAATATTTCCAATGTATGTGTAAATGTGGTCTCTTTTAAAGCGCTGCTGCAAATTAGCTATAAAGCTATCTTCGGTAAGTGGATCTAGCAGGACTGTATCCCATGCTCCTACTTCTTGGTTCAAGTTGAGCATTGCACCAGTCTAAAATATGTTATCTGCAATAACTAATTTTTGTTCTCCCGTAAAATAACTGGTGAATCGTACATTGCCCAGTTATGAATTCCACTAAATTCTACATTGGAAGTGGTATAGAAAATGTAGATGTGTACAGCCATTTAATTAAGAAACAAATTGAAGAAATGGACGAAAGTAAAACTAACCCTTCTCGGAATGCCGCCCCCTTGGCGGCATTTAGCTTTGCAATTATTGCTTTTCAGTGTGCCCTAGAAATCCACCAAACTTTAGGTTGCAAGCGAAATGCACTGAATAAACTGAAATTTGGGATCGAGACAACTAAAAGGGTCAGTTTCATTATAAAGAACGAACAAGTAAGTGACCTAATTTTCAAAGGAATTGTTTGCGTTTTGTTATTTTTTCCTGAAAATCGAACATTTTCCACTACTTGTCATAATTATCCGCAACTATACGTCACTCTTTCGTTAGGAACTTCGTCTTTCCAGCATTTCCAGCCTTCTCAGGGTGGGTTTACACCGAACAAAAGAGCCAAGTTGGAAGGCAAGGCACTTTTAGGTCCTCCTGCCGGATTCACTGCTTGAATGCGTTGCTGTGAATTTACCCTTAAAAGGGGTGAACTGAGCCGACAACATTGAGTTGATGATACAGGGCGGTATCCGAAACGTTAGCGTAAAATAAATTAGCGGAAGAAAATGCACCTGAATGTTGTGCCATGTCTAGCAGGCATGAAGGACAACTTCTGCCTTTTTTAGAATTTTTGTTCAATTGTGTATCTCTTGGATTTGGTTTGGAGGTTCATTAAAAATGATTGTTTAATAATAGGTATAAGCTACCTCGCAAATCTGATTTATTTTTTCCATTTTTTATAATAATTTTTTTGTTTTATTTAAATCGGTCAGTAAGTTTTTTCAATTTAATGTGCCTGATACGATAATTTTAATTTTACCTTCAAGGACAAAAACATGTTGAATTTTTTTAGGCATGCATTTTCCTGTAGCAAATATTTAAAATAGAAACCTGAATTATAAGTACTTCCATCAGAATGCATATGAAGTTGAATTGGGATCAGTATAGGCTTGTAAAGAATAACCTACTTTTTGAAAAATCGGCTTTTGAAGTCCAGATTTTCTAAAATCGAGTTTTAGACGGTTTCAGAATTGTTGTCAAAAAAATGTAGAATAGAAAAAATAATTTCGTTTTTTTAAGGGGAAGTTAAAAAACATACAAAAAAATGGATCTATTGAACGATTTTATCTATTGAACGGAATAGTTTTCTGATTTTGAACCAAATCTTGTCTGAGATACTCGTTAACTAGCTATGAACGAATATTTTCAATTTCAGACTCAATAGCTACTAAGCTTGTTTTAATGGTTTGAAGAGCATCATATAATGTAAGATATTTAAGGTTTTTTTTTTGGTTTATCTATGCGCAACTTCAAATGACAAAACAATCGGCTCTCAGTGCTTTGGGTTTGTAATTTTTTAGTCAGGAACTTCAAGAATCATTGATTTTTCTATGATTTTCTTTAAAAACGTATTACTATGACGAATAGTTTCTTGGGTTGGCACAATCTTGGATTATCACAATCGGTTTCTGCATGAAAATTTTGAAATATTCTAGACAATTTCTTTCCAGATTTTAATTGTTAATGTTAAATAGAAATGTTTCCAATTTTTAAATGTTAAATAATAGAATGTTTTTAGTGCTTTTGTGCTTTACTTCGTTCTTGAAATCGCCCGTAATATTTTTAAACTGAATTTATTATTTCAGTTTTTTAATTCATTTAACAAAAATTCAAATGGATGAGCAATAGCGCATATACAACTCGCAAAAAGTAGTAAAAAATAGTTTGTTGCTCGAAGTTCAAAATTATTTTTTGTTTAGTTATATGAATTTCTTTAAGACGATTATTCGTTTTAAAAACTAGTTTTCAAAAAAAATCAGTTTATTTTAAAAATCGCTTTTTCCAAATTGTCTTTGAAAAACGGTCAAACCATATAAGGAATAATGACAAGGAATTTCCTCGTTATCAATGATCCGAACAAGAAATTATGTAAGTAAGATAGTGAAACTTTCGAGGTTTGCCAATACCAACCAATCACTTTATTAATTCTTGAATATTACAAAATCGAGAAAAAGAAAAGGAAAATACATTTTAATTTCGATTTTTTTTATTTGCCTTTATTTATGTTTATTATCGTTTTCATGTTTTATACATTTTTTATACCGAAATGCGGAGCAGAAAACAGTTGATCATGTCTTCTGCAAAATTACGCGGAAGTTTCTGCGGGATTTTTTCAGGTGAACATTTTGCTTTTCACCTCGAGTACAACGAGGCAACAAAGTATCTTGCTTTTTCTATTCGAAATCTAAGGCAAAACCAATTTGTTTAAATACCACGAATGTCGCAACTGAATAAAATTGCATTGAACAATACAAATAAAGTAAAAATCCCTCGATAAATGTAAGAATGCAATTCACGTCTTTTCTGTTATGTTTCATAAAATACCTTTTTACCTTCTTGAAAAATTGAATTCAGCATCAGAAATATATCGCTCTAAAAGGGGTAGAAATAAAAACCTTTTTTTTCAAATAAAATAATATATATTAAGTGTTTTATTATTTTATATACAATCGACTATGACTCAATTAATAAACTATAAAAAAAACAACACGGAATAAATATCATAAAAACAATAATACTTTTCGACCACAACATCAATTAAAATTAACTATAAAGCTCCTTTTTAATAAATTTCAACTGATATTGTTCATTTAATAAAATATATGAAAAAGCAAATACGTAATCGTGATACCTAAACGAGAAAGTCCTTTGGGGTTCTTAGCAACAAAGCATTTTACTCTAAACTCCTCTACACGGTGATATAATGATCATTATATGTATAATTCACACATAGCTTTCATTTTGAGCAGAGTATGCTAAAAATGAGTCTAATAGTTTCGGCTCCACAAGCTCCTGGCAGTCTTGGTCGTTGAACACATCTCTGCCGCATGCTTCAGCTATTTTTCTGAAAGTAGCCTAGAAAAGCATCAGTATTAAAAATTTAAACTCTCAGGCTTAAACTGATGAAACTCACCAAAGTTGCAACTAACACAGCATCACTGTTATATCGCGCATCCCTTTCCCTGCATAGTTGAACTAGCCGAGTTAAGCCTCCATTTTCCACAACTTGCTTTGCGGCCTCAACATCTCCACACAGCCTTGATAGAGCTATGACGCTTTTTTGCTGTAGCCGTCGCTCCACATCTTCATTTTGCGGAATTCTTGCCGACTTCAGAAAGTGTAAAAGTGCCACTGGAGCCTGAAAGCGATAATACATGTGATTACCAAGTACAGATACGTTCTAGGTTGATCATTGGCCTACCTCAAATGAGGTCAAGTTTTCTCTTGCTCCTTCCATAGCTGCCATGTTAGCGATCAAAGTGGCTACTTGTTCCAGCAATATTACACTGACCAAGGGCCCTCTATTTCTGACGGCTGAAAGCAAAGTTGGTGCAGTTTCACTTTGAATCAAATGTTTGATGCATTTATTGTCCATCGAGCTGAGGTTTGCCAATGCAGCAGCACATAGCAACAGATTCTGGCAGCACCTAGTTGCCACTGACAACTTGGTGAGCGATTGGACGAGATTTTGCGAATATTCCTGCAATCCTTTAATCTAAAATGAATGTTTTGAATTAGTGAAGTGGGGAAGTCGTTTCTTCTTCTGGTCGCTTACCGAATGATTATCTTCCAGCCATGGAGCGGTCACTTGGGCCAAAAGGGCCACAGCTTCGCTTCGCTCCGGTTCTGGCCTTGATTCCTCCTCTAAGGTCTCAGCGATTATTTGAATTCCCGAAAATTTCTCAAAGTGCCTAATTGCTGATGAGTTGGTGCACATTGTGCTCAAGGCTCTCAAAATCAGAGTTCTCAGCGAGGATCCGTCGCATTTTTCGCAGAGTATTAGCAAAATCGGAATGATATCTGCCTAAAATAGACAATGAGCGTTCAGAAATTGAATTTTGTTGGCGATTTTTCGTTGCAAACCTTGACGAAATGTTGTATCAAGTCTGGATTTCTCAATGTAACCGAAGTAATCCCAGTTAAGGTTGAACGCAGGTCAATATCGGAAGTGGGATCTTCCAACTTAGCAACCAGTTTCTTCACTTCGTCGGTTAGAACCCGGCCTTGGATCGATTCCCATTGGACGAAAAGCTCCGATAGGAGCTTAAGAGCATCTCCCGATTGGACACTTCTGATCTGATTGTACAGTCTCTGTACTTGGTGGCTCACTTGCAGAGTGTGTGTTTTTAGAAAGTCCATTATATTTCCGGTCAGGCTCTGGATCAACGGATTTATCTGAGCTGTTTCACTGAAAAAAAAACATTTTTTTATTTGAAGGCCAGCAGGAAGTCCAGATTTGTATCCATTAGATTTCTGGTTTTGCGAGATTTCGCCACTTGACTGTGATAAAACTGTAGAAAATTTGGTCGGGTTTTAATGAAGATATAGACAAATGCAAATAATTTTTTGGAAAAACCTTGAATGTCATTCAGGAATGAATGAAGGTCGCAAGTTCAAGTCCTGCAGAACGAAAAAGAAGCGTTATCGAAAAATCGCTTTTGTTTAAATTGGTTTGTTTTGCCATTTTCCAGGGATTGAAAACTTGTAGACATTTTTTCTTAATAAAAACTTACCTATTCAAGCTTCTATAATCCATTTCAATGCACCTGGAATGCGACAAAAGACCCCTCAAAATGGTAGTGGCACAAGCTGCTAGATGGCTAACTTTTTGGTTCAGTTCGGCTGAAATCGATTTGCATTGAAGACTGATGGTGCATTCCTGTTCCAGTGATAATCTGGCATCTTCCAACCAACGAAGGACCGCTTTATTGTCCACTGTAACCCCATCAGTCGGAATTGGAGGCACTCTGAAGGAAAAAACTCATTCGTTAAGAATTATTTTCTAAATTTCCCCTTTGAATTTCTCTGACCGTTCCTGGTTTTGGTATCGCAGCTTCAGTCTCTCTTGCAGCCTGTCTCTTTCTCTTCGTCGCTGCTTCATGGCACCTGAAGATCCACCCTTTGGTGTCGATGTATATCCAGCTCCTTCTAGATCTTGAAAAAGCTGCTCAAGCTCGCTCTCGCTCGATGTGGAGTTGAACGAAGTCACAGCCTCAGAATCATCCAGATCAGATGATTGTGAGCCGTCCAGTAAGTCTGGAGCCGATCGGAAACAGGGACGTACCACTTCCCGATGATTTCCGGCCAATGGAAGCGATTTGGTACCCGAAATTTCACTGCTGGTGTCGTAATCGCGCCCTTCTGATAGGCGACTGGTTTCTTCTTCTTCATTTGGTTCTGCATTTGAAAGCGAGCTGGCTGATGGTGTGAGCTTTGAATACTGATTAGCGTTTGTGTCGGGACATTCTTTGGTGTTTTTGTTGGTGAAGAGGTTTCTGCTGACTTTTGGTGAATGCTTTACGTATCTGAAATTATTATTTATGGTAATTTGCATGACAACACATAACGCCTACAAAGTAGGTAATTATTGGTTTCAGTTGCCTGCTACTGCTTACCGGTATCGTTTGGCTGGTTCGGTAAATGGTGCGCTTTCGGTGGAGAACTTTTTTGGGGCAAGCGGAGAATTTCTTCTCTCGCTTTTGATCAGTCGCTGTTCAATGTTTTTCTTAACCGGAGTGGACTTCTCCTTGTAATTACTGTTGAGATTCGGATTGTCTTGGCCCGGGATGCAGCTTTCGGTTCCTGAAAAACGTAGCCAGAAATTTAAAAAAAACTGAGCATGTGATGATGTTTGCTTCATTTTACCTTTAAATATGTTTTTTGCTATGATTGACCTCGACGTTAACTTGGGGGTGTCTTCATTGTTATTTACTTCGGCGCTTTTTTCAGTACAGTCTTCCTTCGTCGTTGATCCATTAACTTTCCTGTTGTTCATTATATATTTTTTTAATTCAAATAAATGTTTCAATGCTGAACCTTTCAAACCTGTTTCTCTCTGGATGATTCGGGCTGCTTTCCGTGTCAGAAAATCCCGAATCTTGACTGCCCGGACTGGAGGAAACCTCACGAAATTCCACACTTTCGCTGCCCCACCACACTTTGCTTGGGCTTCGCTTGAAGTTCATTTCAAAGCTTCCCTCTAGGGCTTCCTGTAATTTTCCAAGCTGATTAGTTTGGAGTCCAAACTAAGTTTAAATCGACAAATGGACTGAACGGAAAAATTCCTAGGATTTTATGTGTGTATGTATTTTTATCATATCTCAGGCCATCGCACCGATGTTTATCGAAAGCATGAATTTTGTTTTATTTATTCTTCCCAATGTTTACTAAACTTTTATGGGGGAGCTTTAGGTGAGTAACCCTTGTTGACTTAGATATGGTGTTAAGTAACTGCCTCTTATCAATGGTTTTATCAGTGATTGGAATGAATCATCCGATTTTTCTCAAAGGCGAGTTAATGGCAGTGTTTATTATTGTTTTGTGCAGAGGTATTTCAATTTTAAAACGGTCAAAAATTATCATTACGCTTAACTGTGCTCAACGCTTCTCTTAACAGCAACAATATCAATTGGCTGGTTTATATTTAATTAGATTTGAAGGTAAATCAGGGCCAAATTGCTGTTGATAAGCATCAGTAAATTTAAAAATATGTCGACTTTAATCAACCTGAAAAAGCGACTTCAAACCGCAACATTTGCTTTTTGTTAACAACAATTACGGAGAGTGAATAAAATATGACTAATTTCAACCACATAAGAACATTATTATGTTGTTTACAACAATAATTATATTGTCCTAATGAGTCACTTTACAGTAGCTAATGTTACTAGAGAGCGGCCCGGGAACATGAATTTCAAACAGGTGAAATTTGCTTCCAAAAAATTTAAATATATACAGGAACTGAATAAAAACTGGCTAAAATACCTATGAATTTCCCGTTGCGCATCAAGAAGTGACCATTATTGCATAACTCCATCGGTACATGCAAAGGTGGATCTTTTAATTTGATTGCCGCAGAGAAACTGAGAAAAAACTGGCATTGTCGGCTGATTGGTGCAATAAATAACTTAATTCATCGTAAATCCTGTTACAAATTGCTATAATTTGCATCATCGAATTTTTTTATCGAGGATGTGATGAACCTAATCACTGAATATCGCATAATTTGCTACATGGAATCGAATTAGGAATTTTCATGTACTGTTAAGTAATTTATTTTCAATGGCAGATATAATGGATAATAATGGTAATTTTGTCTGGAAAATAAAGTCTGGAATATAGTCGATGCGTTGCCGAGCTTTTCGGGCTTTTAGGCCGTCGTGGAAAAAACTTACTTCCTGACGTTTTGCAAGCACGAGCGGTTTGCATCTTCAGAAGTGGTTTGTTTCTATTTTTAAAAACGGCCCAAAAACTCGACATATTTACCGGTTTGAAACAGTTTGGCTTGGAAGTCAGTTTTACAAAGAATCTCACAGCCTCCAAACGAAAGCAGAAGTTGGTGAGTTGTTCGGACGTTAAATAATTTATTATTTTCCCATTTTGGAACATATTAAAACATTATTTTCCACAGCTGCTGAAAAGTCCCAAAAACTCACCAATTGCAAGCGCTTTCTCAATATAATCAATAAATTTAGTTAAATTGTGGTCGAAATTTGAATTATTCAATCATATTAGTCTTTGTGCATTTGAAAAATTGCATTATGGACTTCAAATTTTATTAGTTCTGGTTGATGTTTCGTATTTCATCATCTTAATTGCTTGTTTTACTCGGGAAACTGATGTCTCAGCGTCTTGGTCATCAGTTTCCGGGAATTGTTGACCAAATAGGTCATGTTACATTCACATGCGTTGTTTCCCTTAAAGGGAAACTTTCACACGAACACTGTTGGAAAAAAATTGTAGTCGCATTTCTATTGTTAATAAAAGTTGTTGTCTCCAATATAGAGAATGTTTTATTGAAGGGAGTTCTCGACCATGTCTCGGAAACTACTCTTAAAACCAGATTAATTTTCTTTTGGGAAGGTTGAAGATTAATTTGCCTAAAATTAATTTCCACTTTATTTCTGACTGAAGAACAAACCGGCATATTCTTATGTGATTCTTGTCCTATCCAATCCACAAAATTCCATCTATTTAATTCCGTCTAGAATGTAGTCTTGGATGGGAAATTGAATTTACTGGGCAGCAAGATGCAACTGTATTCGCTCCTTTATTAAATGGAAATTAGTAAACCATTTTCAAACACGTGAGTATGCATGCAATGTTGTATGTGTAAAGCAAAAGTGAATGATTTACATGGCGATCTTAATTAAAACTCGACATTCTTCGTATGCCGAAGATTTTTTAACAAACACGCCAATACAGAATATTAGTTAGAGGATACATTATTAAGTGAAATTCCCAAAATAGGAAAAAAACTATTACATAGTAGTATTACAACAGACAATGATGCATCAAAAAAAATTCCAAATTAGTCAACAGGCTTGCAAAGAACAATGAGCAGACAAATTAAGAAAATAATCATAAATTGAACAGCAACTGATGAAGATTAAAACACTCAACATCTTCAGCGTGCAAAGTTTTATTTTTGTTTCTATTAAATCCAGCAAATCGTGAAATATTTCAATGATAGTCTTAAGCGAAGAACGAAGACAAATCTGCCTAATGCGGAACTGAAAATGTAAATTAATCAGATTTGAAGTATTCACGGTTTGTAAACGAAACATGAAATTAAGAAAAGAACAAACAAGAATTTGAAACAAACGAAAATACTAGGTTCATATGTAATTGCATGTACCTAATTTGTTGTAAATTAAAATCGGTTGAAAGAGACTTACAAGTGGCAACGAGCTAATAATTTCCGGAAAAAACGCAAAATAGAAAACGACAAAATCATACGATTCTAAAACAATCAGTTATTATTGATTGATTGAGGTTGATATTAACTATCTAGGAAACCAGTAAATAGAACACATCAGGATTAAAAGCCCTCACAATAACTCACCATTGTTTATCCTAAAATAAAAATCAGGATTTAAAACACCTACACAATTGACAAAATATTTTAAAAAAACAATCAAAAGTTCGTTCAACTACACGAGAACTAGCCTATATTGCCCATACCGCAAGCACGAAAGCTAAGTTGCTACTGTTAAGAGCTCTACCGCGCTCGCACATTTTCTTCTTCATTCTCTTCACCCCAAGTATTATGCTGTTTCAAAGATCAACAGCTGGCCTATCCAGCCCTAATATTTCACTTTCTTTGGCAAGAATAATGCTACTTTAATGCATTTCCCATGGCTTATGGGAATCATCTGCGTTTAAATTATGAGAGGATCGCTCCCTTATCTGGTTGCTCACACAAAGCTGGAATCTCAAATGTTTTAAGTCGTTTATTGTTTTAATCTGAGACGCAATAATGGTGATTAATAAAGAAAATTATTGATGCAATTAAGGAGGCAATTTACTAATACAGTGAGCTACCAGTCGCGTGCCGAAGCAATAAAGATGTTTGGAAGAGTGATCAAGAAAGCAATAGGAAAGCGCTACTCTGGTTCCGACACCTAAATTAATCCATTGAGCGTTCAACCGTAAACCATTTTACAATATACATCCATTAATTTATAAAGTTTTTTCTTCAGTGCCATGTTCTTGATATAAAAGTAGCATTTAATTGATTGGTAAATAGCTTCATGTCGCCGGGAATTCCTCAAGGTTGCTTTTTGGCGCTAACTTTAATCGAGTCTAAACACTCCGGTAAACGAGAAAGAAGTTATTTGCAATTAAGATAATTTGAAAAAGTATCAGTGACCGAATTATTTATAAGTAGTTGAAAAGATACAGTTCCTCTTCAAGGTAATCGAGGACCGTTTGGAGAGTGAGCGACCCTGATTGTATATTTTCTTCCGACTGATTTATTTACGGGTTTGATAAAGTGTATTTGCGCACTTTATATTTAGTTTATTCTACTCTGGCATGAACCAGTTAGAGAGCAAATGTTGAGAAAAGAGTCAGCTTGAAACGGGTTAGTTTTTTGCGAATTTAGACCTGGTGAATTATTTACTGCGGACGTTTTGCAAGCTCGAGTGGCTTGCATCTTCAGAAGTGTAGATTTAAAACTAAAACAGGGGATAATTTAACATGTTTTTCAAACGTCAAGAGATTGCAAAGGGTACTTTTGTAAAAAAAGACGAGTTTTGAACAAAACGTTTCATTTCAATAACGAATTTATATGAAATGAAATCGGAAATAATTATTCTTTTGCGGCTGCTAAATTCTAATAATAGTGTTAATATTTTACCAAGAAAAAATTGTTTTATTTACAATTTCATAAATTAGGTATATTGAAAGAATTCTTAAAGTTTTGAGCAGTAGATTCTTATATCTTTTCGGTAGAGCTGCCAAGACTAATGTGGTTTTTTGCCCCGAGAAATCGCATCAGTCCAGTGAAAGATTTCGAGCGAACACCTCTGAAGATGCAAGCCAGTCGTGCTGGCGAAACATCGGGAAGAAAATTTTTCCCCGGCGGCCTAAAACGCCGAAAAATTCATCATATTGAAATATTGACAAACTAATAAATCGCATTTCAGTTGGGAATGATAACGGTTGAAAATCACATATCGGGCACGTGCTACGGAAGATAGCGTCTAGGTGAGGGGAGATAATCATAAAGCACAAATTTGGTCGTTACGAATTCTAAGCCAAGCATATCGGAAGGGTTCCTGAAGAAGTTTGACCGCTTTGTTGGTATCGTCGTACAGGAAATGGGCAATAAGGCTGGGTTAAATGCAGTCCAAGTATTAAATGACGCTGCCCGGTATATTTGTCGATCAGATCATGCTCAAGGATTTTATGCAGCCATTTAAAATCTTCTTGTTTCGCATTAGTTAATGAAAATTATATAGTACCACATTAGTCATCAATAATAAAACGACTTGCATGCCATTGTAATGAGTGGCTCAATTTCAGCACAACCTGCCAAAGATTAAAGAAAAATGCTCATTTCCACCTGCTAATCTGAACTAGATTGTTAAAACGAATCAAGCTTGTTCACTTAATTCTCTTAATTGTACTGAAATTACCGGAAAGCTTTACCAGGTTTTGCTTCCGCAGATAGTTCTTAATGGAATTAACGCGTGTGTCAGGCTCTGACTAATAAAACTTTATAAGCGCGCTGTATAAATCAGCTTGGTATGATTGAACAATGGGAATTCTTCATTCTTCACCAATTAATCAGTATAAATAATGGCATGTTTATTTATTGGTCGTATAAGTCACAAATGATTTTTTTATTTTACTGTTTTATTACTTTATCGCCTCAGTTACTTGCAATTAAATGCAAAATACTCATTTATTTAAAGATAAGTTTTCCCTTGGAAAGTTCCCATTGAAATCCTTATCAGCAGTGCAGGGTGTGGCTTTGCATTAAAAACCCAATTCAACCACTTGAACGTATGAAATTAGCCCATTGAATTGGAAATGTACTTAGAAGATCCATTTCAAGATTATCTGAAGCTCAAAAGATTTATTTTTGGTTCAGCATATAGAGCAACATAAGTACCATTCAGATTTTCATTAGGAAAGTCTGGTCAACGAAACGAGCAGCAGGAAGCACTTGGGTTAGTTTGGCTTGGTGAATTACCGAAGCAAATTAATAGAGTTCAATTTTAATTAAAACATTAATTAAACATGGAATTTGATAGGATTGCTAACATGAGTTTTTCATACTGAGTCAGCAGCTGACGATAAACTGCGGTAATATGAACTGAAAACTGCATAGATAGCGACTTTCATAATTTCCCATGCTAATAAAACATCGACATTAGTAAACATGATATGCGTAATGATTAGTTATCGAAAAAACCTTAACCATTATTATTAAGCCAAGTGTATTCATTTGGATTGTTTTAAATCTGAGGCCGGTCCAGAAGGTCGCTTGCCTTGAATTTAACAAACTTTTCGTATTCGGAGGCTTTTATGGTTGATCAGAGGACCCCGAACTGCCGAAAAAAACAGAAAAATTGGTGCCCAAGTTCAAAAGCTTGTTAAACTGAGCATGTTCTCATTTTCTTCTTTTTTAGAATTAAAAATTGATGCCTTAATTATTACATTAAAGAGCCTCTAGTCCTTGAGAAGGTTTTTTATTCATCTGCGTTTTTGCAGAATGAAGGCTTGAAAGCTTTAGTTTGTACGGGAAAAAATCCTTGTTTTAATAAAGATGTTGAGTTCGACAATAAACCTTTTTGAACGTCCTCTAGTTCTAACGAGGCCATTTAATATTGATGAAACACTTGTAAATACAACTACCTACATTCTACTAATTCTAGCTCTGATATTTCCAAAAGAACAGGAAATTTAGGAAAAGTTAGTAGAGTTTTATTTGCTTAAAATCCCAATGTGACATGTGACTGAACAATTGTAATGTAACCATCTGTTAAAAAGAAATACTTATACAAGATAGCCATAAGACTTATTAGACAAAAAGTCGAAAGTTTCGATGACTTTTCTGAGTTAAAAACAACCAGAAAAATGCATTTAACACACATTTTCCAGAAAAATGTTTCTTTAGGATACCTGTACATTATGTATCAAGAGAAATCAGAAATATTTGCAAATACATATCTCTAAGACACGATTCTATATTATTCAGTTCTTACCATCACAATCAACCCAAAAATACACTTGCTTTCAATGTTGTTTCTAAGAATTATCATTATTATTACTAAAAAAGTTAACAAAAGTCCCTTAATTTGTAATGTATGTATTATTATAATTTAATTATTAAATATGTTTACCATAAATTAAATGCTGACCAGTACATACTATGGTAAAAATGTGAATTGTGAAGAGTGAAAAAAAACTCACAATTCGCAATTTTCTACATTATTTGGTGCCAAAAATGCATTAGTACGTTTTGGAAACACGTTAAATAAAAATTAATAAATCGAAAAAAATTGTTCGTTCTGAAATTGTGATTTTTTTAAAACCGTGCTGAGTACAATCAACGATGAAATTGGATAATAATTTTTGGAATTCCATTGAAATGTATTTATGTTTATGTGTTGATTTAAGCTATTCAGTGACTTTATCATTTAATAATACAAATATTATCTTAGAACTCTCTGGTAAACGAGTTGCACCGACAATTTTCTGGTGTTTGTGTATTAAAGCCGCTTGGCCCAATTTCTTATCTACAAACCAAGTTTCAGTAATGGTGGCAAACTTAAGTAAGATAAAATTAATCTTAAGTTTAATTAAAGCCTGAATAGTTGTGGACGGGAGTCATGAGTTTAATTGAAAAATACGTGCCAATTTTTCTTTATTACGGGTCAGCATTTTTGCTACCTAGTGGACTGTTAAGCTGTGCATTTGCCAAAAATATGGAAAGATAAACAACATGGGCAACAAATTTCTCACAGTTGATGCGCAAAGTACGCAAGTGAGAAAAACTGGTGAAATTCCAAAGTCGAACGACTTCTTCAGCCCAGTAGTAAACAAGCCTTGGATTTTGATGAGAAGAGCACTAAACCTGAAGAATATTCCTGATGCGTACCTCTAATGTTCTATTCCTACGCTCGCTTCATTCAGACTTAGTTAATTAACCATTAAAGCTAGATTTACTAGTCAGCTTGTTTTAGTACAGTGCAGTGACAAATTGTACTGAACATTGCCCGTTATGTAAACTGGTATGTATGAAAGGGCCATTAGAGCGGCCGTTAACAAGAACGCAATTATTTCCTATGCCAAGCTCTATCTTAAAACTTATGGCCTGATGGGATTAGGCTCAGATGTTTGTCAACAACTGAAACCAGAACAACGGAAATGTTTAACACTATCCATATGTGAACGGACTTTGTGTGGATTTAGCCAGCATGTAGAGGGTGTGCGACCAGGTGTGCACGTGCCCGGCACACGACTCACCAATCGAATATTTCACCAACCCTAACGATTTTCCAGTGGCGGCTAAAATACAAAAATAAAGTCGAAAAATGGGGTGAATTTGTGAAATTTCCCAAACTTATCTCAAAATCTGTACATAGAACTTACGCACGAAAAAATATATAGATTTCAGGGTGCTTAATCTGAAAACTCATTTATTCATCAACATCTTCTTTTGAATCAGAAATGTTCTTGTGCAGAGTAAATCTATTTTTCCACTCTTCATCAAACAAAAACTGATGATGTGAAGTTGTGATGTAAAGTGTGAAAAATTGAAGCTGAGTCGTTCTGCACACAAATTTGCCCTTTAGTTTAATTTAAAACCGTATTGTTTGCCAATTTCTTATTTGGTTTATCGCTAGTAGTTTAGTGTCTTTGTGGAATTTAAAAAATATATATTTGTTTATATTGGGAATTTTTGAAGATGGTTGAAATGATTTTAACAATACCTTAAGTACTAAAAGTATCTATGGTGTGATAACCATACCATATTGATTTCACAAGGTACACTTTGCTGCATTTTGACTGAATTGCAACTTTAATAATTTTAGAAAAAAAGGTGTTTAGTACCTACTTAAAACATTCTAAAATATGCTGCTATAAACAACAATAAAGTAAAATGAATCCACACGCCTCTGCTGATCACCCTTATTTTCACGCATATGCACCCGTATTTGCCCACATGGAAAGAAAGTGAATCGCAGCTGTTTAGGATGTTCCAGATGCGATCATCCATTCGAATTTACCGGTATTGTAACAATATAACGTAAACTCGTAACAATATAACGTAAATTCTTTGCGAAAATGACCTCAGGCGCCACGAAATGCTGCTTCATCTTCATTCTTCCAATGAATTCTGCATCATTTCCTTGCACCGATGACTAAATTATCAATGAGTCTGATATGTTACGACTGGATGCTTTAACAATCATTATTTTGGTACGCTAATCTTTCAAACTGGTTTCGCAACGATTATTCACCATTCAGTTCCTTTTTCTTTTAAGTCGAATTCCCAACAAGGTAACTCATTAACATTGCCAGGTGTCGAGCTACTATTGTTATTCATGCTCAGATTTGTTTGTCATCAACTACAAAGAAATTAAGAGTGAAATTGATTGGTTTTAAGCTGATTGAGACTGTTTCGTTTGAATTCAAAAATTTTAATTTACCTAGTAAGATCTCATCTGACGAGAAAATAAACCTTAAAAGCGAATGTTCAGTAAACATCTGTTAGTGTTACTTTTAATGTTTCAAATTTAAGATTTACAAGATAACATGTGTGAGTAATCAAATTTTCACTGCCTCRCCCTTCTCTAGGTATACTAATTAATTTTCTTGTTAAAATYTGYCACCAAGTTACCTTCTGAGGTTGGCTGTCTAGTCATTTGACTAAGCTTAATAATTAAAACATCATTAGATTTTTATATATCTAGTTGAAATTTCATTATATCCAGTTTGATTTGCTACCACTTTTTTGAAACTTTGTTTTTTCTCCKCAGGCAAAGTGAACGAACTTTCCAATTTTAAAAGTTARTTATAAAAGAAACTGTGCATTTTTCGTTGAAAATGTTTAATAAAAATAACTTTACTTTGAAATCTGTATACCTACGACAATAGGTTTCTTTTTGTGTACTGTTTGCAAAAGAAATTTGCTCTAAGTATAATAACTATTCATCAGAAAACTGCCTTAATTATTATATATTATTCAATGAGTTCCCAACAAAAGYTTACTTCAATTAAAAAAAATAWATTTAATCGTACGATAAAAAATATATCTTCTGTAAAAAATCCTTTGAATKCAATATCTTCCTATGCCCATGATTTTTAAACAATTTTGCATGAAACCTAGCAATTAATATTTAATTCATTTACAGCTGTGTGATTCAGTTAATAACTGTGCCTGATCAGATTTCTTGTAATTTTTTTATGAAAGAATTCCCATCTTGCTGAGTTAGAGTATTTTAATAAGCAGCAATTGCAATTTGTGCATAACTACAAACGCATGTTCAACATATAATTGCCGATGGTTTTGCTTTAATTATATGGAAATAATTAACAATGTTTTTTCACATTTAGATCATTGAACTGCCGATTTGAGGATTAGATCGTACACGCTTTACCGCGCTTCTAAAACCTATTTTATTTTAGTTTTGAATAGTTCACTAGTTAGAAACATTTTTGGGTATTTTCGTAATTAAACCTGAGTTTTCCTGTGAATTTTTTGTTTTGAATTAATTAAAAATATGGGCTTTTTAATGTGCTAATAGCGATCTATGCATCTCAGTTCATTATTATCTTAGAAAACCCTAAGAACTACACAAAAATAATCTCACAAACATCGATAATTGACTTGAATTTGTGTTTTATCGTGCCCGCTCATAAGCTAACAAATATGAAATAAAACAATACATACACACTGAAAAGCCGACCCCAATGCAAATCCTTTTTAATAACCAGTTAGTTCTTGCCACTTTAGCACTTTAAAATTCAAACTTGTGTCTCACACTGCACTTTCAAAAACTCATTCAACAATTTCAAATCGTGCCACACTGTTTCCCGGGTATGAGTTGAATTTATCATAATAATTGAGGATCGCGGGTACTTCGGTAAGCGGCTTGATTCTCATGCGCCGTAAGCTGTAACGAATGGAAATAGTAGGGGTCCTCTTTCCTCATATACGCAAGTCGTTGATTGGCTGTGATTTTGAGCACGGGCTCTATGGAAAGGTGTATTGTTCTCTATACCCTATAGTTAGTGTTAAAAGGGGTTGCCGAAGAATGCAATCGGAGTCGCCCCTTATTTTGGCCGTTGGAGAAAATCGTTAGAATAGTCTAGAAGTGCCTGAATAAGTACATTTTTTTAAAGTAAAGTATAGACAGAAAGTATAAATATATAAGTGTAAAGTATAAACAGAAAAATATGCAATAGTTTTAATAATAGCAATTTGCTTTGATGCTCTTTCATTCTATATTTCGCACATTTGGGCGCTGGAAAATATATAAATTGTATACAAAACTGTGCAAAGGGATGGAAACTAAAAAATTACATCCGTACAAAGCTCGTGAGTGACGTAATTGCTTAGTCAAAAGACACTAATCAGTACGATGAAACACACTTGGAACAAACACGGGGTTCTGTTTTAGACATTTTAATCAGTGAATAATAGTTGTTCATAAGTGAACTTGTAATATTGTTTCGGATCTTATGCCAACTCAACAAGCGAGAAAGGATTATTAGTATATTTTAACAAAATAAGCAAAATACTTAAACCCTCATCCCTTTGGTGTTCGATGTTCCTTGTGTTTTTTCGTTCAAGTTTTTTCGTTTCAGTGATTTTTCGTTCACTGCACCATTTCTGGTACCGATCAAACCTTCTCTGATATATCCGAAACAACATTAAAAGCTTTGTTCTCAATATCAGATGGCAGATCATCCTTTAAACTTATTTTAAAATATGCAATTTTAAGACAACTTAAATGGACAGATCTATTATCGCACTAGTGCGCTAATAATTTAAAAAAGCACTAGTGCGGTAATAAACATCATTATATTCCATCATAACAGTCCTAGATAAATGATTTAAAATTTAAATTTCTATAGACAAACTAGGTATAATCGAAAAGCTCTTTGCACGCCACTGGAACCCGCTCATTCTGCGTCTACGACTATGGATTAATCACGTTAGGGTTTTTAAACAAGATACAGTCTGCCATGTATTTATAGTATAGTTTCCCGGATTTTTAGTCGCTTTTATGTTAATTAACCCAATGGTCGTATTTTAATTTTTTGCTTCGCTAAATTTACTCTTCAATTTCATTTTGAAACGTTGCACGTACTTATTTTAAGCTCACTTTATTCATAGCAAGTCTGTTTCTTGACCGGAAAGTAGGTTCGAAGCAAACGCGTTAACTAGCTGCCCCGTCACATAAGGTAGAAAGAGAGCGATCTAATCGCGGCCCATTTTACCCAAGCCGCCACTTAAAACTGTCAACAGTCAACAGTGCCATTAAGCATTTCCTGTACGTTCTCTCGTGTCAATTTTAGCAAAATGACGACTCCGAAGGTAAGTAATTTTCCAAATTTCTGCTATAATTTGCTATGAAATTACTAGAATTTTTCGGAAACTTTATTAATAATCTTTCCCCTCTTTTAGCCTAAGAAGGAACCGATCCACGCCGTGCAGGTTTTCGGTAGAAAGGTGAGCTGCACTTTTAACCTATAAAACAACGTGTTCTTAAACCATATTCGAAGCATTTTGCGTAGAAATAACTAAATGTATTGTTTTTTAGAAATCCGCCACTGCAGTAGCTTATTGCAAAAGGGGACGAGGAGTTCTTCGAGTAAATGGACGCCCCTTGAGTCAGGTGGAGCCCAAAATGCTCCAAGACAAACTTCAAGAACCCATCTACTTGTTGGGCAAAGTAAGTATGCAACATTTACCAATTCCATCGAGCATTCATTTAAACTAACTAGATTTTACCATGATGAGCTTTTTATCCCGAATCTGAAACATGTACTTTGTGAAGCAATCGTAAGTCTGAGTTATAGACAACATGTGCATTGTAAAATTTACGTGTGGTAAGTTTTTAATGTGAAACATTTTTTACAGGATAAGTTCTCCGCGGTCGACATCAGGGTACGTGTGAATGGGGGTGGACATGTGTCTCAAATTTATGCCATCAGGCAAGCAATTTCAAAGGCCTTGGTAGCTTATTATCAGAAATGTAAGTTTTAAGTGCTATTATTTATGTTCAGTAAGGGCTGAAACACAAATTAATTGAAGAGCTCTAAAAACCCATACACTATTTTCCACGATTCCAAATTTGCAATTGTTTCAGATGTCGATGAAGCTTCAAAGAAGGAATTAAAAGACATTTTAATTCAGTACGATCGTACCTTATTGGTAGCAGATCCACGTCGTTGCGAGCCCAAGAAGTTCGGTGGTCCAGGTGCTCGCGCCAGGTACCAAAAGTCGTACCGTTAAGGTACACATTTTTTTTTTTTGATACAAAACTGTCAGCAATGCGGCAGTCCAATTTCAAAATAAAGTTAATTAAGTAATATTCTTTTTGTTTTATCCATCCTTTTATTAATGTTGGTATTGAGTTCTGCTGGTTAATACAGAATTAGAAAAGCACAAATAGGGAATCTGGTTTAGGATGACAAACATTTAAAAATCTTAAAAGTATTAAATCTATTTATACTTTTAAACAATGCAATCTAGGTTGTTAGTTATTTTTACAAGTCAAGATTATGGAAGCAATAGATCAGATTCGGAACTTTTCATATAAATGTTTTTTTCTACATTTTTTCGGAGATAAGGTCTGGATGGAGGTATCGGAAACAATAAATGGTATGAAATTAGACATTTAAAAGACTAATAAAGCGGCTGTTAGGAAAGAATCCAACGTTCTGCAATGCATCTATTTTCGTCAACCTGGTTTGTTTGATGCGCTAATTTGAAAGCATTTATCGAACCTTTTGTCCTTCACTATTTATTCCACCCTACAAACTAACTGCAGTATATATTTGAACCGCATCTTTCATATATTCGAGAGTAACAGTAATGTGACTAGAATAAATCAACTTATAGCTAAACATTTTCAACATTACTAAACAGTACAAATATTGTACAACTTCACAATGACCCACCTATATGGGCAGGTACCTATAATAATACTTACATAACTGGGAAAACATTTACAAACTTATGTAAAGCCAATCGTTAGAATAACAAACATCTAACTACCTACATTTGGTGGAATTGTAACAATTACAGAGCTCAATGGCCAGGAAATAGACAATTCAGTGGATCGGTAAACCTAGCGATTAAATGTTTTTTTTTGTTTCAATTATCCGATCAGTAATAGCACGCAGGAATTAGGGTACTGTATGAAACATATCGGCATCTATCTTGGCTCCCATTCTCTTTAAAGCTATAATAGTATTCACGGCCTTAATCCATCTCCGCTTGATAACATATCTCTTTAGTTTTGACGTGCTCAGCGCCAGTTCTGAATAGATTGTCGTTGCTCCCAACCAAGGATGATTTAATGCTTCTTTCGAAGTCATGCGGGAACTAGAAGATGTTCATTTAATAAGAAAAATTACGCCAATCAGAGTTTTTTGATAGAGTGTAATGAATGATTGGAAACTTACCCCCGAAATGTAAACACAAATAGCTGTTTTCTTCAGACTGATGGCAAAAAATGAAACAAAACAAGGTGCGGTTGGTTAATAAGTAATTTTATTGAAGTGAACATAAACGAGAGACAAGTTGACACTATATGGCCCCTTTGGATGGTACACAGCGACATAAATATAAAATACACTAAAGAAATTATTTCTTAAAAAGTTTAGAAAATTCTACTTGTACAGAAATATTTGCCAGATGGTGCATTGAAGAAAAATTTCGTGCACTAATGAGGTTTTCACACTTCACAACTTCGAATTGCTTATGATTTAAACTTAGAGTAACATCTCTGGCCGTCGACAGTGTAGTCAATTCGAGGCACACACTCAAATTGTTCGTTTTGACTTCCGTACTCAGCCCACACGTTGAATAAGGAAAAGCTTAAGAAAAAATAATCTCTCATTAAAGTTGGGCTTGCCAGTTCGTCAAATTCCATTTTGCTGCTCATCCTCCATTCGTCCAATGCACATTTCGATAACGACCATACTGGGTGAAACATTCCAAGTAATCAATCATCCCAAAAAAAGTTTTTGAAGAATTAAGACTTGTTGAAATGAAACGGGGTAATTTTTTTATTGGTCGCTCTGCTTTGGAAGAAGTTATTCAATGAGCTAATGGTTCTTTGTCCCAGAGCATCGTCTTCAGTCCATTCGGAAACTGAACCGTGCCTTGTACTAGGTCGGCTAGATGAGTTTTTCGGTCCGTCCCAGTTTTGCAATAACCGCAAAAGTAGATCTTTGGTACCGTTCGCGTCTGTAGGATTGCTGCGTTCTTTATACGAACTCAACAGCTTCTCTTCATCGAGCTTTTTGTAAATATTTCGGCAACTCATAGGAACATCTCTGCTAGTATTGGGGTTGATCTTGTTCTTCGTTTTCCGCCACGGTATGTTACATGCAGGACTTTGAGGGTGATCTTTGGGCAATGGTGAGATTGGTTCAGCTGCATAGTCATCACAACTTATATCGTCAGTCTTTTTACTGGATTTTTCATCATTCGATGAAGGGAAACTGTTGGTTAAACTTGTCTCAATATTCGACAGTCTAAAGAGTTTATCAGACAGTTTCCGGATTTCTTCCGCTAGATTTATCCTTTCAGTGATGTCTTGATTTTTTACGAAACATGAGGAATCCGAGGCTCGCCTCAAATGGTCGCTTGGCACCAGTAATGCCTTTGGAGGCATGAATAAGTCATTATTGCTATTGTCTATATTATTGCTTAGGAAAATGCAATCGTTCTCCGGACTGGATGCTAGGCTGCCACAGGGCGATGGTGAATCTCCGACCAATGAATGAGACGATTCGCTTAAACTACCACTTCCAGCTTCCGAATCTGGTTCAATACCGTTCGTTACCTCGAATATATATGGAGAATTCGGGTGCTCATTCCACCGTTCCACAAATTGACGCAAATTGTCCTTGGTCACATCCATCGAACTAATTCGCTGAAGTGGTTGCCTTGTTTTCTTTTTCAGCCACTCATGTTGCAAGCATTCTTCCGCTGTCATTCTTTGGCTGGTGAAAAGACAAAGACCCCATTGTTAGTTTTTGTTAAGGATCAATGGTACATGCGCTGAAGCAAGCTTTACAACCCAAATTTAGTACAAGTCAAGGGAAATTCTAATTAGACATTATGAATACAACACTGTTTCAGCCATATTTCTAATAAAAACATATTTTTTATCTGTCGCTGATTATCTCTCAAGCTTAGAATCAATTAACCCTAGTCATTGAGTGTGCAGTCTTCGGTGCGGAAACCGTCAACTTCTTTGTTGCCGATAGACAGAGCATTACATTTTCTTCAAAAATACTTTTTGCATGTTTCCTTTTAACGTTCCGTTTTTGTTTTGACATTTCGTATTTAAGACACCATCATCAATTTTTTTAAATATGGACTTGTTTATTTATTGTTTTTTCCAAACAGGCTAAAAACGAAACTTTGTATGATAAGTTTCTGAGTGCTATTTTATTAGTTTTCAGTCTCCAACTTTCTCTCTGTTTAACCAATATCATATCACTTACGGTCCCCAATAATTTCCTTTTTATATTGGACACAGTTCATATAACTTAAAAATTCGCAACCTAAAAAACTCATGTTGTTCGCATAACCGAGACGGTTTGCACTAGGAAACGTGCATAATAATATGTAGTATACGTATATTTTTTGAAGACAATTTTTTATTTAAAATACTAGATTCTCAGTTATTATTTTCTTCATCTAAGATATCTTCATCTGTTTATATATCGAGTGTTTCGTATTGAGTTGACTACGTACTTATTAGAAGAAAACTTCGTTTTGTTTCGGAACAATCATCTGCTACTCGTTCGTTTTCTTTTCCATACTTTTTGTGAATATTTATAATTTTTGACTTACTGAAAAATTCCCACTGGATGAGTTCGTTTCTGATATCTGATGTAATTTGTCTGAAATTATAAAAACACGGAAGACGAAACAGTGCCGGTATTCATGTTAGTTTGTGTAATAATGAAAAAAATGCACTAATTTGGGTCTTTGTCTCGCTGTATTTTGGTGAATCATGATTAAAAACGTCACAATTCCTCAGACAACGCTCAATTAAAATTATTTCGCGTCCAGAAAACCGTATAAAATGCACGAAAAAGCTTAAACAATATTAGGAAATATGAAAACTCCGAAAGTTTAATTTCCTTAAGATTAATATGTGCTAAACGTTTTAGATGGATACTTAAGTGTTGTCGGAGAATATTCATGAACTGAAAATAATGATGAAACTTGAAATTTAATTTACTTACTTCAAATCTTTGATCAACAATTTCCTGATAAAGTCTTTGGCGTTTTCGGATATGCTCTGGAACGCTTCATCGTCGAAGTCGTATTTGGAAATGGTGACATTTGCCATGGTTTCAACGTCCGTGTGTCCCATGAAGGGCGATAAACCCGATAATCTATTTCAGAAAAAAAACGTTAACAGTGTAAAAACGCACAAATTAATTTCTTACAAAACATAGCATATAACTCCAATGGACCACATATCGGTTCCAAATCCTATGGCGTCAAAGTTGACCACTTCCGGAGCCACAAACTCCGGTGTTCCGAATAAAACCTGCAGTTTCTTGTCTGGATCGAATTTACGCGCCAGACCAAAGTCGATGATTTTAATCCTGTTGCCAGTTTTTGTCAGGCACAGAATATTCTCCGGCTGGAAAAAAAACATTTAATTGCAAAATCATGGCAATGAATGGTTTCCAGTTCACCTTCATGTCGAGATGCAGTATTCTTTGTTTGTGTATAAAGTCGATGCCTTCGCAGATTTGTCGCATAAAAACTGTACATGCCTTTTCCGTTAATATAAAATCGTCATCTATCACCCTTTCAAATAGTTCCCCTCCTTCAATTCTGAAATAAAAAAAATTAATTGTTATTTGCTCTGTTTCTCAAGTCCACTTGAAACTGTATTTATTAAAGTATAAATAGCACGGAAATCCGCACAAAGTAAATAAAACAATCTGGCGATAGTAACCAATTTTTCGCGAACATTTTGGAAAWATTCCAAGACAGTTTCAGCTTTTTTTTTTCGTAACAGTCCCGGTTTCAATGTCAGGAGCTTAGTTGGGAAACATGTGCGTAATCCTCCTGTTTTATACCTTGCAYTTATTTAAACATCTTTGGTATGTAATGAAAAATTATTTAGGTATGYTGTGGTGTTCTTCAAAAGTCWTTTAGCTTGGAGGAAATCATATTATTTGACTCAAAATTAGTCGACTACTAATTTATATTTGTTCATCTGAATCTAATTTCAAAATTTGCGGAAGTGTCCACTTCGAAAATGGCTTTTATAATAGCCAAATTTCCACAATAATACAAAAAAKCAATTTAGACTAGGACTAGAAGATTCATACGAATTAAATGGTTTTCAAAACATTTTCCGTCTATAGAAAAGATGCGTCTTGAGAATAAGATTTAAGATAATGTAATTACCGACCGCAGATGAGACTCGGTTACTGATTGGCATGTTTTCAGTGTAAATCAGCTAATAACAATTGCCAACATTTTAAGTTGATTACTCATTACATCATCAATCAACAAACTGTTCAAGGTGCGTACCATCGTACATCCGCATACAAAGACGAAGAATATTGAAATAATTTATTTGAATTTTTGAACCGAAATTCATGGACTTTACGCTCCATATTAATCTTAAAATTGAGTTCAAAGTCGAAATTTATAGCTTGGGGTGGAAATTCATCTGAGTTTTAACCATAAAAAATACTCATCTCAGTCATAGATATATTCTTTCCAAATTGCATAATTTTGGAATTAGGAAAATTCGCCTAAATTTGAAGCCTTTGACTCAAGTAATATGTGCCAGAAGCCTGTAAACGCCCATTACGAAAATTACATTTGTCAACTGATATTTTAATATTTGCTGCAAAAACATATTTTGGCTTTGAAAATGTTTAGGATGCCCAGATATTAATAGCTCAAAAATACTGCAAAGTGTCTGGTTAAATCAGAAAAACAAACCATAGCAAAATGAGTTTTTCACAATGTTATTTATTACTCATCACTAGTGATATCGTATTATTGTTTGTAGCTTTCACTGTACAAAATTGAACTTGTTTTCAGATACTTACAATTCCAGTATTACCCACATGACTTTCCCATTTTCGAAGGCGTCATAGACTTGAATCAGTCTGGGATGTTGAAGCATTCGCATAATGTCTATTTCTCGTTCCACATTTCTTCTGTCCTCTTTTTTCGGACAGGACACGTATTTTGCTGCCAACGATAGTCCGGACGCTTTTTCCGTACATCTGTAGACTGTCCCAAATTTACCCCTGTGTAATACCAAAAAAAAAAAGTTTATTTTTGCTCGGACTATTTTAGAAAGAAATTAATAATAATTAAACAAGTTTGAATTTTTCAATGACTCGGTTAAATGTGAAAATGTTAAGAGCACTTTTGTATAAAGCCATATTTGAAGCCTAGAAACAGTATTTTTTGAGTTGCAAATATATTTTAAATATTAATATAAAGAACTGTTACAAAAAAAAATAATTCATTATAAATAAGTACATAACAAAATATTAAAGCATGTTTGGATAATATTAAGTATTTGTTTAAAAAAAAATCTTAAAGGGGTTTGGATTCTGATCAAATGCTTCCTTCGTTCATATTCATTAATGACTTCTTAGGTTTATTGGTACATGTTATTTTTAACGTTTTCCGATAAAGACGTAGCAGAAAACTGCAGACTTTTCCCCCATTTAACTGACTTTATTTTTAGTTTAGATTGTTTATCCTTTTGTATAGATTTTTCGCAGTTTTCACCCGGTCTTACCTTCCAATTTCTTCCTCTAACGTGTACTCATCCTTTGGGTCGATGTTCCTTTTAATCTGGACATCCCGGTAAGGAAAGCTGAGCTCCACTTCTGTAAGAGATCAAAAAATAATAAATATCACCTTAATTTACAAGCGAGGCTATAATTATTTTAAATAAAACCTACATTTTATTGTCTATGAAGACTTTTGATGTTGAAATTCCGGCCAAGTTGTCACGTTGCCAAATACCAAGAATTTAAAAACCGTTAACATAATTAAATAAAAAACACGCGCACGATATTGAGAATTATGAGCTCGGCAACTGAATTTTGCTTTATTCTGTTGTAACTGTTAAATAAGTTGAAAAAGTGTAGCTTTGATACAGTGGTTGTAGTGGAAAGACTATTTATTTAGAGGCAAACATTTCTGAATCGAATAGTAGTACGGTAGCAAGCTCAGTTTTGGATTCCATCCAGATTTGTTGTGAATAACCTTCACCCATAATAATTATATTTATAGTGGAGTTTGCTACGCTCAATTGCACCGGATTTATGGCAGTTTTTATCATCTTCTATTGCTGTTTTAGCTAGAACACGAGAAAACATTTGCAACTATAATATCTACTATTTGCTATTCATGTGTGAAAGGCGGCGCCATCACTTTTCATTAAGCTAACCAGCGGAAAATTCTATATGAAACCAGCATTTTAGCCGCGAAATAATGTTAGTTTGTTGCTATTAAAAAATAAAAGTATTGATAGGATTGAACTCTCCTCCTCAGTCGTTTATTTATGTTTTTTTTGTTTAAAAAAAGGTTTTGTTATTCTATGACTATGTTCTTTTCACTTTTCCTGAACTCTCGATCCATAAAATTCATAAATCGTTGAAAATTCAATAAACGTGAATATAATCGTATTTGCTTCAAATTGGCCATAGAGTGAAAAAGATGGCTCGAAAAGATGAAGAATATGGAAATATACAGGCTGTCTCATAAGTAATCATAAAAAAATTATGGCGGATTTCTCGGGTCAACATAATACAGTATAGCGCAACTTACCTTAGGAGAAAAATCAACGAAAACAGAAATATAAGTGGAAATTTTTTTTTTAATTGGCTTTTGTAAAATAACACACGAACAACTTGAAGATTTCTTGAATACATTCAATCACACGTGTTTTAAACGACCTTTTGATTAAAAAAGAAATATACTAAATTCTTTTTTTACGTACGAACTTAAAAGATTAGGGAAAAATTTAAAAAACAGGGAAATGTATCCCACATATTTTTTACTGCATTTTTATTTTATTTTTTTAACTGCAAATATCTGGAAAACCCTTGATCTTTTGGATAAGAAATAGGTATATTTATACAGATATTTGTTTTCTAGGAAGAATAAAAAGAAGTTTGCGAGATTTTAAAACGAACTATTTTCTGCAAATGGCGCAATTGCGAATTTGTCACCCTCGAAATCCCCCGAATACCTAAATTTAATAAAACACTTCAAGCTGTTAAAAAAATAACTTTGACCGCCTGTATTTCTGTTTTCGTGGACTTTTCCTTTAAGGTACTTAAGTGGTGCCAAATCGTATTATTTTTATCACAGGAATCGCCCCAGGAGAGTCCTATCAGTATGTGGGACTCTGAATGTTTTGGGTCATAGGTCGAAATCTACAGATCAGTTCATAAGCCAATCTGGCCGAAATCCAGCATTGCGATACTGCAAGCAATTCGAACCTTGAGATTCATCAAAGATTTCGAAATAAAATACTTGCTTTAAAGGAAGGTAAATAATCAAAGAAAGTGCGAAAAACCGTTTTTTTGTTGTAACTCCCAGAAAATAAGTAACAGTTAATAACAGGTTTTCCCGTTAAGAATGACACCATTTTGGAAAAACCTAAGTTTTAATAGTGGAACACTCAGAGCGTATTGCCCTCAATACCGGCAATTAAACGAAATTAAAAAATATACAGCGTGGCCCACTTAAAGGCTGGCGACCCGCCAAAATGTTTACCTAAACGCCTTTTCCTTAGATAAACACATTTTAACTGAATTTCCACACCATACATTGCAGCCGGCGTTACTTGTTGCCATTTATTACATTCAATGGTTTCACTCGGCTGGAACTTGTTGATAAAATATATGGAAGAGGTATTTTCAACTCAGTTGATTATAAATCTAACAGAAGAAAATACATCTCCAGATCTAGACGTTTGTTCATATACAAATATTCTCTGATTCAGGCAAACAAAAGGTGTTTACGATAAAATGACGCGCATTAAAAAATGTTTCGGCGTCATCGATGACCACCGGTCACAAAAAAACAAAGCGCGGACGCTGCTGTTGCCTGCATACCTGCTTTCTTTATTAATGAACGACAATTTGGCGTGGGTGATTTTTTTAAAATAAAATAAACGCGCGTTGCTTATTACGTTTATGGAGTAACCTTCAAGTGAGAACCTGATAGGATGTTTCCATTGCCTGTTTGATGACCTATCCATACTTGTAACAGACGTTCGAAAATTAATAACGTATGTTTTATACGTATTATAACTGAAACAATTGCCTGGATGCGAAATACGTTCTATGAATGGAAAAGTGCATTCAGGCACGTCATTTTGAAAAATTTTCAAAAATAAGCTAATGATGGAAAATCTAAACGTTGTTCACGTGTGCACTGTAGAAGAGGATCGAAAATATATTTTTTTACTTGGCCAGTTACGGAGTGAATTAATGAATAATAAATACTAAACTCCGGCCTGGAAAAATATTCACAAAAACCAGACGCGGTTTTGAAAAATTCTTTAAAATTGCTTGACGATTAAGGAAAATCTGAACTCTTAAAACTTGGAGAACCCATTTTGCCATAAAAAAGAGGTGTGAAACTGTGGCCTACAAAATCAGCCATTTTCCAAAAATGTCAAAAAATGCCTAATTTTTTTTTCAAAAATTTCCTGGTGTTGACGGAAAATCGAGAATTTGTTCGCATACAATATTCATTTTCTCACTTCGAAAGTTTAACATGTAATTAACGCTAAACTTCGGCTTGGAAAAATAGCACGCGCATTTGAAATATTGTTGAGATAATTGCTTGATGACGACTTCTAATCGAAACTTTGTCCGCGTATAAGAGACTTTGCACTTCAAAATACGTGCGAAAGCGACTCTCTCACTTGGTTAGTCTCCAACAAAAAAATGTGAAACTCCGGCGTGGAAAAGAAATCGCGTAAACCAATCGTTATTATGCAAAACTGTCCAAAAAGAAACTTTGTTCACCACACATAATGCACCAAAAATTGGCTATTTCACTTCACAAGTTACAGAGGAAGTAAATGCGACCTGCAAAAATCACAACGAAAACCAGACGTTTCTTTAAAAAATTCTTGAAAACCCTGATAATGACTTCGAATCGAAACGTTTTCCACTTTTCAAACAGAGATTGCTGTACTAAATGAACACAAGAAACTCTCTAGTTTTACTGATTTCTTAGAAAAAAATGTATAGGCCACGACAAATGAAACTGAGTGAATGGGGAAATAATTAGGCATCACTTGAATTTTCAAACTAAGATTATCTGGTCTGAATTGAAAATATGTACACGTTTGTGAGCGTTTTAGTTTGATTAGATATTAACGGAGTAGAACATTACAGCACAGAAAATAATTAATTTGTGAATTCAATGTGGCAAAAAAATATTGACAATTTTTGAGAAAAAAAAACATATTTGCCGGTATTGCAACCGAAGGAATGACTAATATTTGTGTAAATGAATCGGTGTTGAATCGATTTATTTGGCAGGCGTATAATTTTGAAAACGTGTCGGTATTTTCAATTAAAACTGAAAATTTTATTGCCCCGTTCATTACTTCATTAAAATGTTAACTAATTACCACAAACAAGTTATAATTGAACACATTTACACTGAGAGCTAAGAAAGAAAATTTGGAGGTAAATTTATGGAATGATAATTTTTCAAAATTATTTTTTTTAAATCATAATCTGAGATATGATATTTGTATCTTATCTAATGTTGCTTTAGATCACATTTTTCATTTAAATTGTTTGAGCAGAATCGTTTTTAAAACATTGTTCTAGTAGTAATTTTTCAACGTTGGCCCTTAATTCGTTCAGTTTCGTTCCTGCGTCTTTGATTAGAAATAAATTTCCCATTGTCGTAAACTACTTTAAATTAAATATTTTTTGTTTTACCACCCCCACAGATTGTGTAATAAATCAAGCTCGATAATCTAACTCAAGGTGCGGCAATGCATTTATATCAAAAGGAATTAGTACCGAAGAAGGGTTCGCATCAAACGGCTAGCCCTAAAAGCCATCACCTAGTTGCTGATAGGAACACCTTAATCATTAATTGGGCCACTGTTTATTAAGTACTCAGATAGCTGAGGCCAAATCAAACAACTTGAAATATTGCAGCGTCATATCAGCGCATATCGATCACTCAGACGCAGTATCAAAATGATCCAATCGCTATTTTTCTCGCACCTCCTACGAGGGTTTTCGGGTTCAGCGATGGTCATAAATCACGTATTCAAAGAGTAGAGTTCAGATTCGGTAACTTCATAATGAAAACATTTTAAAAATAGCTTAATGTTGTGCCAAATTTGATAGCGTTAATGGTTCGGTGCGATGACAGAGCAACGAGTCTGTTGATGTTCGATTCGATTCCACATGGAGCAATCGGAATCGGAATCTATCAAAAGTGAGGCGGAAAAGTTCTAAAAACGTTCAGTTTTCTATCTATCTCCTCATCTATCCACCCTGTATATATCTAATGATAAACAAACACATCGAATCCAGCACATTTTCCCATTTTATCCATACTGGCAATTTCATGCGATGCCGTCACCTGTTTTTTATGCTTAGAATATAGCGCGCAAATAAATCTTCATAGATTTTTTAATTGAAATGTGGCTTTGATTGGGAAAAATTCGAATAGCACGGCGTATGCAAACAAAAGAATTAACGTCACTTGATTCAATGTTGGCAACATTAATAAAGTGTAAATTGTAATTAATTTGGACAAATACAGAATGTAGTTGATGGGAATGAATGTAGATAAGTTCTATATTGTTGAGGCGGATTCATTTTTTTACAAACTTCTTTTTGGGTATTTCGCCTCAAAAATTTTTGTCATAAATAGTGCTCCTATTTCGCAATAAGAACGAATTATTTATCAAAAAGTAATCAAGAACTATCACCTAGAGGGTATCCTGCGACACACTTACGC